AGACCAAATTTCGACCATTCGTCTGCAAAGGTACGATGCAGGCTGCCCTGAGCAGCGTTCTGTGGGCTCGAAGAATCTCCAATCAAAACCTCGCAAAAGTCTCTCCATGTCCATGCGCTTTCCTTCCACTCCAACTCAAATAAATAAACTCGGCTACCAGGCCTTCCGTAGCACTCCCGGGTAAAGGGGACAAACCCATTGATGACAAAAATGCCTTGAGCCTTCAAGAATGCTATGTAGCACGCCCGTCCAACCTTCTTGGGGCTCGATGCCTCCCACAGCTGCAAGAGCTCTTTTGGAGTGAGACCCAAATTCTCGCATGCAGTCGTGGCACCCATCAGACTTCCGTCAACCACACAATAATCCCATGTTGAGTGAAAGATCTCACAAAAGCGGTCCTTGATGGCAGGGCTGACAACTTCTTGAGGAGTCGAAGAATTGATTTCGGCAAGGCGAGTCGCGGCGCAAAACGCAGCAGAGTTCAGATAGCACTTCACAATGCGAGCACTAAAAACGGACATCTCCCGCGTCACCAGCAGACCTACCGACTCGAGAGTTTTTTTTACCGCCGCAATTGTGCGCTCGTTCACAGCAAAGGGCTTAAGAATCAACACCGCACGATTCATCGGCGTTTCCTTGTACAATGCCATTGTCTGTTGCTCCGCCTCGCGCATGATGTCCACCATCTCGGAGGTTTGCATGTTTTCCAGGAGGTCAAACACACACCCGGAGAGCTTCTTTCCGCGCAGCATTACCTCTGGGTGGGAAGCCCATCGGTACAACAGAGCCCCTGTTAGGGCGCATTCCTGCAGTCGCAGCGTGAGAGGATCATGGGAGAGTGGTAAGTGCATCCATAGATGGCGTTCCAGCAGCGCCTCAAACGGCCCTGCAGATGCGTGAACCCCGTTATCGGTTGTCGTCGGCGGGTATTGCAGGCCCAATTCTTGCCACCGGTCTCGTATGAGACCGCGCAGGCTGTTGGGAGGTGCGTTGCCAGGATTTGTGCTCCCAATCAACTCCTCACGGAATGCACGCCATGTCATGCACGCCTCTGGCCAGGAAACAAGGTAGCATGTCACCTTTGCATTTTGAGCGCCGTACGTGTCGCGCAGATAAGGGTAAAACCCGTTGATCACAAAAACCTTTTCATTTAAAAATTGAGCCACGTACGCTCCTGAGGCAAGCTTCATTGTCTTCGTACATGAACCCCACATCCCGTAAAGCTCAACGGCGGAGATTTCACCAAGAGTGTGTATGGCTGTTTCAGCATTCCAGACACGACCAGAACACACTGCTTCTTTCCAAGCAATACCAAACAATTCCTTAAAAAGGGCTCTGTTCTGCGTGCTTACATTAATAGACATCGGCGAAACCTTGACGGCGTAACGGGCTATGGTTCGGTAGTGTTTGTACATCAACTGCTGTGCCGCAATTTCACCGCCAAAGACGTGACGTTGACTGACGATTTGCATTCCACGGGTTTGCATGAGACGCTCCTCCACAAGCGCCCTTGTTTCAGGTGTGTTGGCATGCGGTTTTACAAAAACCAAGGCTCTGTTGCGTCTCTCTTCAGCATCCTCATCGTCAAGCACAATGGTCCATTCCGCGACACCCGAAATGGTGTTGCTCGTGCCGAATCCAACGGACGCCTGGTTCGTTCTTTTCAACTTCTCCGCGGCGTACAAAACCGCCAAGTGGTGTATCACCTCGCTGCTCTGCAAGTCCTCCAGGAGCTCAAAAACCGGTCGGGTCTCCCCACCGTACGTTATGGTGGGGTTCTTCAACAACTGTTCCAAAAACTCAAGTGAAACCCCCTCTTGAAGAAGCGCTCGTCCAAAATCGTCCTCCGTGGCTCGCCGATGCATCCACACAGAGCGATGTGCCAGCGCCTCGAGTGGCCCGCTGGAGGCGTCCAGGCCGTTATGCATCAGGCTCGGCTGCTCACTCAGTCCATATTCCCTCCAGTTTTCAAACAGCAAACGACGCAGAGACGTCGGCGCCGCCTCGCTGGGGTTTGCCGCTCCAAGAACCTCCAGGTTGAATTGCTTCCACGTGTACATCGACTCCGGCCAAGAAAGAACAAAAAGGCACGTTTGACTATCGGTTGCGGTGAAGGAACCCAGAAGACTTGGGTAGAAGCCGTTGACTACATACACCCGCTCCTCCTCCAAATAAGAGACATAAAAACCGTACTCAAGCCGGGCACATGACTTCGAGGCACACCACCGCGCATTTAACTCTTCTGAGGAGAGGCCAAGAATTGTCATGGCATCTTCAGGTGTCATCACCCGCCGCTTCTCCACTGCAGCATCCCACAGCTCACCGAATGCCGAGAAAAAAAGAGACGCAGTTTCTTCCGACACAAATGCACTCAGGTCCTCCAAGGAGCACACAGCCAGAGCATGCACCGAGCTGTAGTGGCGCTCCACGTAGGCCCCGCGCTCAACCTGAGAACCAGACAAAAGCATCGTGTCATCCGTGCGAACTCCATATTGGTCAAAGTGTTCACGCGCAACGTCAAGAAATTTTTCTCGGCACGCGTGCGGTTTAATCAACACCAGCGTTGTATTCATCATCCCCTCCGTGATTTGTAGACTTCCCAGGGAGAGTAATACGCTTTCTACCTTATTTGCTTCCCTGAGCTCCTGCATTGTGAAACACACAAAAGGAAAAGAATGGAAGAGAAAAAAAAAAAAAAAAAAAAAAAAAGAGACCAAAGCGTCAAAACAAAGACGGAAAAAAAAAAAAAGAGGCTGTTTGCAAACCAACATCGCCTCCCTTCACCGTCTCTCCTCCAGTCCATCCAATTCACACACACTCTTCTGTCTCTAATCTCTGTTGCCAGTTGCGTCTCGTGGGAAAACCAACCAACTGCGTCTACGTGGGAAGCATATCTAATCACGTCAATAAGGGAAAATCTAAAGCTAATAAATAATAAATTTCATAACCATCATCATCACAGTTTTGCCACGACTGTCCAAGCCACCGCAGCCAGCAGTAGCATAGCGATAAGGAAAGAGATGTCCCCTTGCGTCTAATATATGTAGGTGTGCGTGCAGAATCCTCTGGGTATCATTGACACTGAAGTGCCACCTCGTACTCCTGCCGCAGTGAGGCCATGTCGGATGGAATGACCGTCATGCCGTTCTTCAACTGGATCAGGTAATTCGCCACCTGCGTGGGCTCCGTCGTCATTATCATGAGACGCTGTACTTCGGTGAGCTGCTCAGGCTGCAGCTGCTCCGCAAGTTCGTTTTCGAGCAGCATATTTATCACCATGGACACATCCTGGCCATGATAAATGCGTTCTCCTCTCCGACTGCCACTTTCGTCGTAAACCATGGGAATCGTGCGACCTGCGTTGCGGTCAACAAACATGCTGAAGTCTACTAGTCCCTCCCAATGCACAGGAACCAACAAAGTCAATGGCATTTCCTGTGCATCGTTCCCGCTCCGAAAGGCAATAAAAATTCGATTTAGTCCCCTTAAATCACCGTGAACAGTGCGCTTAACCACAAGATCAGAAAGCATCCGTAAGAGAAGCTTGATGCAAGTGGGGAAAGAACGAGCTGAAATGGGTACCGTGGAGAGTGGAACCGCATAGTAGCCCAACGGCATGGTGATAACAGTCAAGCCGCCGTCTCTGTAGCGGTAACCTTTCACACTCACAGAGGCAGCAACAAGAGACAAACCAAGTGCCGCACGATGAGACTCATTTTCTCCCAGTTGCACCGCGTGAACACTCCAACAATAAAGCAGGATCTGTGGTGAGTCATCAGATGCTTCCCCTTCACGAGCCTCATACACATCGGAGGAAGCATAATAACGGTGGATGCGGTAGCGGCATTTCTCGAGTGTCACCGTCGCACCGGTAAACAGTTGTGGTATCACCCCATCAATGTTCCTAAACTCCCCAGCGCTGCTTATGGCCTCCAAGTTGGCAGCAACAAGAGGAGCAACAAGAGCAGCCGAAATAAACTCACTCTGTAAGCCGTACGCCTGGCGCGGGATCGGGTTGGAGTGCTTGATGGTACGACGCACAGTCACTGTTGCTCGTCCGGGGAGAAACAACTGTTTCGTTGTGCGCAGCTCAGAGGGGCGCGTTGTTGTGAACCGCAGCGGGTCCGTTCCCAACGTCGTGTCAAGCGTCTCTCTCGTTACACAAAGGCCGCCGCAGCCGCCTTCTTCTTCCTGCTCTTCTTCAATGCCGCCACCGTCAACAGCACGCGGGGGAGACGCCGTGTTGCTGCGCTGCGGGGGCAGTGGCTGCAATGCAACACACCCCACACCCAACCGCGTTGTGAGGGCAGAAGTATGACCATCGGAAGCAACACCAAGCCCCTGCTGCTGCAAAAGCTGTTGACGGTTCGTGCCCTGTGGTTGTTGGAGCAGTCCCGCTGTGACGTTCAGCCCGCTTTCACGGTAAATCGAAAAACTCGACCCACGTGCGTCACAAACGCCTTTACACGAGCCCTTCCCTCCTGGCGACAACGCCGTCGTGCTGGAGAACCGGTAGGATGAAGCGGAAACGTCGACGTTGCTGTTATCATCATCCCTGCCGCCATCGCCACAGTTGAAATCCGCCAGCGCGGTGTGAACAAACGGCGTCGGATGGTACGCACTGCCCCTTTCCTCCCGCTGCCGCGGCTTAAAAGGCTCATCCACCGGGTCGTCGTCCAGCGTTATCTCAGTGCTAAGACGTACCCCGGACTTCCGCGTCCCATCGCCCCCCTGCTCCACTCGGCGAATCTCCTGCTGCAGCTCCATCTCCAGAATCTGGTACAGCACGCAGAGCTCGCGCCCAAAGCGGTCATGCACGGGGTACTTCGTGCAGAACTCCACGTTGGGATCCCGCGAAATCAACAGACGGCATCCGTCGTCACGCCGCAAAGATGAGCCAGCGGTAGGGGCGTCCTCTTCACTCATGTACTCCTGCAGAGTCATCCGTCGGATATGTGTTCGGTCAAAGCCGTAAACAGCCTCATACGGCGAGTGCATCCTGCGCAAGGAGACCCTCCGCCTCGCTCCCTCCCCGATCCTCGTCGCTCGTCGTACACACACAGAAAGGAAAAAAAAAAAAAAGAAGAGAAAGAGAGAGAGACACACTTCTCCGCACGTGCAGCGTAGAGGGTAGGAACAAAGAAAATAATAATATAGATGCGTTCTGCTCCAAAAACAACAAAAAACGCCAAGTCAACTCAAAGGGCAGGAACAGAAAAAGACTGCCCCCACAACACGTGCGAGCATAACAATAATAAAACGCACACAAGCAACAAAAGCAGAAAACACACCCTCCTCATCCCTTGGGCGGGGCACTATGTTGCATCACCGTCACACGGATTAGCTCACGGCACTCCAAGTACGAAAGCCACTCCTCCTGCATGCCTCGCAAGACACGCGCGATGTCCCTCGTTGATGACAACCCCAAGCGCGCTGTCTCGTCGCCATTGAACGTGGCATCCGCATGTGTGTTGCCTGCAGCGGAAATCCAGTGCAGCGCCCTTGCGTCCCACAATGTGAATGCCGCTCTCGCCCCCTCGCCATTGGCCATTGGCAAGCTATTCTTTCTGCATTCAGAGTCGAGTCCGAAGGTAGAAGCCACCATCGCGCGTCGAATAGAAAAGAGGTGCGCCACCATCGGGCACAATAAGCACATTACGTGCGCCGGAGACACCACAACGTGGGAAAAATTTGTGATAGGCGCTAAGTCAGTCCCACGGTGGGAAGGTGGTGATGTTGAACGTAGCGAAAGGTGCAGTTTTCCAACACGATCGTGTGCGGCTGGAGCAAAAAGAAGCGCAAACACCTTCAGTAGCCGCAGCATACGTGAGATGCATGTGGGTACATAGCATCCCGGGGCGCTGTGGACCAACATGACACCGCGAAGAATAACCAAAAGATGCCGCAAGTATCGTGATACTTCGCCCGAAAGCGTCACTGTCTCAATGAGGTCCTCGCCGTCAGCTGAGAGCATCGCCTCTAACATATGGCGCTTGTTCACCACGTTCGAACTCTGCGTATCAGCCGACTGGATCACTGCAGCACTTTCCATGGCAAGGGCTGACATGTACGTTGACAAAGCGAAGGCGTTACGTACATGCTCGGGAAGTGCAATGGCGTATGTCCGCGCGTCACAAAAGGCAACAATGCGAAGTGAGGGCACCCGCTTCACTGTATTCCCCACTCGTAATAGGCCAAATGCCAACACATCCATCAATGCGGACAAAACTTGTGAGGAGGCTGCGGACAACTCCTGGAGACACACCACAGTCACTTGCCGGGTCTCCTCCACAAACCCGTTCGGCGCAGACGCCGTTGAAGCTGATTCCGCTCGCATAAGAAATCCACAAAACGCCTCTCGCCGGGTTTGCTCGGTTATACGGAGCTCCAAGTACGTGGGCCCTTTCGGCATGGAAGTGACAGTGCTGTTACTCATGCCGTCATGCAACACTAGAAGGTGCGCTGATGGGACACAGCAGCAAATGGAAACAAGCACATACAACTGTCGGCACTCGCACAGTACTGGGTGATGGGTGGCTGGCCACTGCCGAGCAAGCGGGTCAGGAAAACATTGATTGATAGAAAGCCGCATGACGCAACAGATACATGTGTGTGTGTGTGTGTGTGTGTGCCTCTGCGGACGATGCGCTCTAACAGTGCGATAGTGTCGTTTTAGACTTCTCCTTCCCCTCTTTTCTATTTTTCCCCCCTGTCCTTTCCTTTTTTCCCTCCCTTTTTCTGTCCAATTGACTCCTCCCTACACCCTAAAGCTGCGGTCAAAAAAGTCATACATGCATGTACGCGAATAAAAATAAAAAAAGAAAGAGCGTAGAGGGAAACACACACACACAGACACATACTATAAACCCTGGAAAGAAAAGGCCTGCCTCCACACAGCACCCGACAGTCCACACATACAAATAAAAGCAAAAAAAAAGAAAAAAGACGGCCGCTTTGAAATGAAAAGCAATAGATGCTGCAAATGACTTTACAATTCATCGGCATCCTCAAACCGCACCTCTGCAGCAGCAATCTGTCCCTCCGACTCACCGTCCCTTTCGGCAACTGCGTGTGAGTGGTGTCGACGACGACGACGACGGCGCGCATGATGGTGACGATGGCCCTGGAGCGACTCCTCGCTATCGCCCTGCAGCCCTTCCTGCCCCGCTGCCTCGCCATCATACAATGCCCCCCCCAAATCCGGCTGCGCTATCGACGCCCTCTCCCGTTGAGTCGCGCTTTCACTCTCCACACCGAGCTGGTGGCGATGCCGGCGACGCTTCTTGCGCAGTCGGTGGTCTTGCGTGCCCCTTTGCAGCGGCCCCCTCGCCAACTCGCCCCCGTCGTCCGCGTTTTCAGCTTCGTAGCCGCTCCCTTCGCATTCGCTCCAGAACCTCTCCTCAATGTCGGGCTCGTCAAGAATCTCGCAAAACTCATCCCCGCCGCCAATTTTGATGCCGTCATCGTTCACTGGCGAGATATCTTCCATGTTGAAGAACTCATCCGCATCGTCCGGTGGCGGTGGCGGTGGAGAGGTCTGTCGACGCCACAAGAGGCCATTCCCCTCCAACTCCGACTCGCGGTCAAAATGCGTGTGCAAATGCTCAAACTGCTGCTCCTTCAACTGCGTAGCAAAAAGCTGCTGCATTTCCTGCACCTGCGCGTCGTATTCCGCCTCCGTCATGAGCGCGTAGCTGCACATAATGCGTACCTTTTGACCTTGGTCAAGCGCCTCACGGGCCTCACTCAAAATTCTGTCACGCGCCATTGTGTGAATGCGAAGTGCCGCCTTATTTGGCTTGCACGACAGACCGCGCCCTTCCCATGGAACCGTTGCCTCCGAGAAAAGCCTTATTTCTGGTTTGTACGACTTCCATATGAGTACCCCAACCCCTAAGAAGCATATAAAAAGATTAATCACTGCGGCGGAAAACGCCCACTCGATAGGGGTTGAAAAAGTATCGTACCCATCAAACTCCGACTCCGCCAGCGTTGTCGGGTTTTTGGCGAATACCTCTGCCGCGCAGGCCAAGATGGCCTCCCTGTAGAAATTCCTCATGGGATACGTGATCCACACCATCGCGACAAGCACAACGCAGTAGATGATGGAAAAAGTGCTCAGGATATGATAGAATGGTACATGCACGCCGCATATGCGCAGATGACGGCGTCCCGCTGAGTAATTCAAGAGACTCAAAAAGTTGTTGAGTACTGCCAAGAACTGCACCACAAGAACAGCAATAATGCATTCCGCCATCACCCTCAGAGGAAGAGGCAAGGTCTCGCTATTCACGCGTATTACAGTGCGGATCTCACCAATACGGATATCTTTGCTGTAGTTGCAATTCTCGCTCGCGGCCTCCAACCCCGGGGACAGGGAGACCTCCCCGCCGCCAAAGTATCCGGGGAAGACGCTCGTTTGCCGCACGTAGAATTCTGTCAGCAGTACAACAAGGCTGATGAAATGGGCGGCGTTGCAAATATGGTAAAGTCCCTTGAAGATCCTTTCCTCCGTGCGTCGCGGATAGATAACGGAGGGAAACACAAAAAACATCTCCTTTATTGCTCTATTATTTTTTTTTCGTTTTTCTTTTTATTCTGTTTTTCTAATTTCCTTTTTGACGGTTCTTCCTTCGTTCGGCTGCTACCCCTCCGCCTCAGAACACTGTGGTCTCTTCCCCGCCTCCTCGTCGGCGTGTCCCGCAGAGTTCCTCCCAACGGAAAGAAAAAAACATGCATCCACGGCGTGGACAGAAGCAGAAACAATAAAAAATAAAAAAATAAAAGAAGAATAATATTTCGAGGTGGGAATAGCGCAAGTCGCCGCGTGACGCATCACGGCGGCATCGTATATCCCACCCGCTCGCCCTCAGCAGATAATAAAAGAACAGTGGCGACACGTCTTCATGTTATCAACCTGCAACTCCCGTCGCGTACCGCCTGTTTTCATGTAATCTTCACGAGCATCGAGCGAGGAAATGTATATATATATATATATAGACACGTATGTCACTTTCGGCGACGCAGCTTTGAGATCCTCCACGAGCTCCCATTTTCCCAGGCGCGCAAAATTGGGTTGAGACGCTCCGCTCGTTGTTCCTTTGTCAGCTTTCCCTTTCGCGGCCTACTGTAGAAGGCCGGGGCAAGCTCAACCAACCACTGGGGCTCAATCACCAGCAGCTCCCGCATGTACTCTCGATTCGTCAGCTGCAACTCGTTGTACAGAACGTACTTCGGCGGTGCATCCCGCAGGCATGACGAGGGATGCACATACACCTCACGCCGTTCCGCCAGAGTAGCGTATGCAACGTCCGTGATACGTTTGGCGACGTTAAAAAAATAGCCTGCGGTGATGGCTCGCCGCACCTCGGTCAGCGCGTCGTCGTTGTGATGCGGAATCGATGCGTGGCGCTTGCGTAACATGTCGCTTAACTGCTCACGTGTGTCACGGGCCTCCATCAATATCCGATGCTTTAAAAAGTTGCGTTTACACCATTCCTCGCTGAGGCCATTTGCCACCCACGCATCGTAAACTGCCAGCAGTGTAATCTGATCCCCCTCTGGTTGGTGGAATTGTCGCTTCGCCGCGTCGGACGCCTCATGCTGGTCTCGTGGCCGGTAAAACACCCCACGCTTCTGCACAGCAAGCATCGACACAATCGTCAGCACTGGCTCGCAGCATCCCATGTCTACAGCCGTCAGAAGCGTCTTGCTCTGTGAGGGATCGATAGGGAGCTGTGCCATGCGACCCCCCAGCGGGGTTAATAATCCATCATCGTCAAGCGCCTCAAGGTAACGCAGTTTCTGCAACGCCGACACCAACGTTTCTCGCGGCGGTGGATCCATTAAATCAAGTGCAAAAAGATCGTTAATGCCCATTGCCTTCAGTTGTAGTACCACATGAAACAGATTAGACCGCTGGATATCTGGCACCGTGGCAGGCTCCATGTCCATTTGGAACTGTAGCTCTGTGTACATACGGAAACACTTCCCGGGACCAATGCGCCCCGCGCGCCCGGCTCGTTGTTGTGCCTGCGCCTGTGAAATGGGGACAATCTTCAGTTGTTCCATTCCTGTTTTGGGGTCAAAGACATTCTGCTTGCAGAACCCACTGTCAACAACAAAGTACAGGTTAGTGATAGTGATGGATGTTTCAGCCACGTTGGTGGCAAGCACAACCTTCCGGCAGCGCGGGGGTGTGGGCTCAAAGACACGTGACTGAACCTCCTGCGGCAGCGATGCTGTGAGCGGTAGCACAAGCATATCCGGCACCGGCCTCTCGCTGTACTCACGCAACTTCTCCATCCATCGAAATAGCCGCTCGCCGCCCAATTCAATCTCCTCCTGCCCTGTCAGGAATACCAACACATCACCCGGCGGCTCCTGAAGATGCAACTTCATGACAGTGCGGAGTGCGCAGTCCAGGTAGTCCTCCGTCGGCTCCCGGAGGAAGTTTACCTCTACGGGGAATGTGCGGCCCTCAATAAAAAAGACATCAGCAACATTGAAATAGTTGCAAAACTTCTCTCTCTCAAGCGTTGCAGAAGTTACAATCACCTTCAGTGTTGGTCGCTTGTGTGTTGCATTGCGGACAATGGCAAACAACAAATCCGTATTCACTGAACGCTCATGTGCCTCATCAAGAATGATGACGCTGTAACGCTGAAATGTGTCGTCAAGAAGAGCCTCACGTAGCAGCATGCCATCCGTCATGTACTTAATCTTCGTCAGTGAGGACGTGACATCGCGGAAGCGTACCGTGTACCCCACCTCCTCACCCAAGCGGCAGCCGTACTCTTCCGCCACACGAATGGCAAGCGTCTCTGCCGCCACACGGCGGGGTTGTGTGCAACAGACAACACCACGTTTGCTGTAGCCGTGCTCTGCAAGATACTGCGGGATCTGTGTCGTTTTTCCACTACCGGTCTCCCCCACCAACACAGTCACAATGTGTTTGTCCACATGCTCGAGAAACCGTTCACGATAGGCGTAAATGGGCAGCGACTGGCGCTGCTCCGTGATGCTCTGCGACGTGAACGTGGGTCCAAATCGTGGTTTCTCTCCAAAGCTGTGCTTCATCCACGGCGGCAACCGTGATGGCAAATCCCGTGAGGAGCGAAAACCACCCGCACGATCCTCCGGACGCTCCAGCAGCTCGTGGCCGAGTATGCCGTTGTCATCCGCATTGCCATTGTACTGGCCGTTTCCTTTGGCCTCCCACCCGCCCTCCTCCTCCTCCTCCCCTTCCCCGTCGTTGGCGCCTCTGTTGCGGCGCGCAAAGCCGTCGTCCACGCCGCAGCGTGCGTGTTCGGTCAGTCTTTGCAGACGCCGCTCCTTCGCTCGGAGAATCTGCCGGTCTTTGTTGCGTATCTGCTGTGAAATCGCCGCACGCTTCATGCTGTTCGTCTCAATTTCATCGGCGGTCGTCTGCTGCATGGCCCGTCGTGCAATAATCGCCTCCCGTTGCGCTGGCGTACTCGCCCGCATCAACTGCTCCGACGGCAGCAGTGCACGGTAGTTGATGGGTCGATGTCGCACCAACCCGCGCAGAAACCGCGGCTCCTCCTCATTCAGCTCCACTTGCTCCACCTCCTCGTCATCGGTACGTAGCTGCAGCAACTCCGACTCGTCAAGCAGACCGCTGCGCACCAGTTGCGCCAGCTGCATCTTTTCCTCCGCCCGCACTTTCATCGCCGCACGGCGCTCCGCAGCGTCGGTTGCAAGGCTCTCGAGCGCCCTCCGTCCCCGCTCATCCCGCTGCGCCGCTTCTTCCTCCTCCTGCTGCAACAACTTCAGCCGCAACGCCGCCTCCGCTTCGCTCCGCTCCTTCTCCGCAATCGCGAGCGCACCGGCCTCAAGGCACTTCGGCCAGTCGACGCCACGCAGGTTCGTCTGCATAAGACGCACAAGACCGCGAAGCTGCTCCAACGGAATGGGGGGCTCATCGTCCCCAGCAGCATTAATGGCGCTGTTAAGCGCCGCGAGCAGCGACTCCTCCCCGCCCGCGTTGCCTCCCTCGCGCAAAAAGAGCCCCACCAACTCCTCTACATCGTCGTAGTACCCCTCCGCCTGCTCCACACTTTCCGGTCGCCCGAGCAGGTGCTCCAGCTGGCGGTACAATTCATTCCTACTGTATATCAGCTGCAGCTTCCACAGGAAGGGAACTTCCTCCTGCATTCGGACACGCTCTCTTCTCTGGAACTCCCCCGCTTGCACGCAAAATACCCCCAACCTCTCCCACCACCGTCACCACCAACACCAATGAGGTCGGCAAAAAGAAAAAAGAAAAATAAATGCCACGGTGTTTCTGCCGCAGAAACAAAAAAAAAAAAAGGCAAAAACAGCACTGGAGAGTCACAGGACTGGATGGGGACAAAAAACAAAGGAATAGAAGGGGGAGATCTCCGGCAAACAAATTTCGTCAGGGAGAAAGAGGCACGCCATGACCCCATCGAGAATGCACGCACAGACGATCGAGTGGCGAGTATGGAAAAAGTGGCGCCCATGAAACAAACAAAAGAAACAACCGCGCCTCATAGAGGAGATGGGAGAAATAAATAAATAATAACAAAATAAATGCAACAAAAACAAGAGGGCAATAATAATAATAATAATAATAATGTGTTCCTTCATTTCCTTTTGGATGTGATTAACCCCGCTGCCCCTCCTCCCCATGTGTACAGCCACGCGGAAGGGGGCGGGTGGGGCACACAAATATATAAATTCAACTTCAAATACAAATATTTACATAAATAAAGTACAAAATAAAACATCCACAACTTCACCCCAATCGTCCCCCTTCCCCCTCCTCGCCTCGGGAAAAACCGCAAAGAAGTCCTTTTTTTTTTTTGTTTTTTCTATTTGTTTCCTTCTCGCCTGCTCGCTGTCCCATTACTCGTGCAAAAAGTGGATCTGGCGAATTAAATATGAAAACACACACAAAAAATAAAATAAAATAAAATAAAACAGAAAAAAAGACTTGAGGCTCTAAAGAGCCCCCGGTGCCCTCTTTTTCCTACCACCGCCACCGCTAGCTACTAAAAAGAGAAAAAAAACATGCGCTCCGGACCCATCAAAAGTGGCCCGCTCCCGTGTAAAACAAACAAATGACAGTACGAACAAAAATAAGAGTGAATGCAGAAATTAAAATAAATATAAATAAATAAATAAAATACATTTTTTCTTTTTTTCTTTTTCTTTTTCTTTTTGTTGTTGTTGTTTTTTCCTTTTTCCTTTTTCATTTATGCTCACAAACACATAAATACCCACACATACAAACATGTAATACCCCATTATTTTTCACATTCATGCTCCTTCTATTCACAATTCCTTTCGCGTTGCTGGTCAGTTATTTTTTATTTTTCCTTCCCCTTCACCCCCCCCCCCCCCCCCAATCCTTTTAAAATATAAATACATCGGTGTATGTGCCCCGTTCGAGGTGTTCCCCCCTCCTCTTTTTATTTTTTCTTTCTTTTTTTTTTTTTTTTTTCGTTTCATACTTATTTCCTGCCTCCGTCTGCGGTAAGTCAAATTTCTTCATGAGGTTTCTCCCCAAGGAAGGTTGTCACCATCCCACGGTTTCGGCGTGCCACGTTGTTATTCCCCTGAGACGCTGAAGGACTTGTTGTGCTGGTGACAGGGTCCTCATCGTCGGGGTCGGGGCCCTTCATCAAAGTCAGCCGCTTCGGCACCGCACGTTCCTTAACCCTCTCCAACTTCACAAATCCGTACGCACTGCGGCCCTCGTTTTGCAGGTCGCCAATTTCAATCAGTTTGGCGAGACTGACGATAAAGTTGAGGCCAAAGACGGCATGCTCGCCCTCCCACAGTTCAACCATCTCCGTCTCGGGGTTGTACGACTTCACCAACGCGACGCTGCGGCCCCACCGATCCACGTCGTGTGCCTTGGTGGTGTCGTAGTTAAGCAGCAGCACCGATCTGTTGTCCTCGCGCCGTGTGGCATCCATCAAGATGGTGGGAAGATCGTCCAATTCCACGTCGTCCAGCAGCTCCACCTGAATCGTGTCCGCATCACTCTTGCCGTTGCTTGCATTGCCACCACCGCCACTGGTACGCCTCAGTGTGCCTGGTTTACTGCTCTTTTTCGGGTTGCGGGATTCGATGAACATGCGGCAGACCTGCGCAAGAAAGCGGGCGTCAATCTGCTTGTTAATGACCGTAAGCGAAACGTCCACATCCCGCCACGCAAAGGCTTGACTGCCGCGCCGACGCTGGTCAGCCATCGTCTTGAGGTACGCCTCGTAAAAGATCTCCTCTGGAGAGTAGAAGAAACCGAGCTGCGCAAAGGCAAATGAAAGGGCCTGGAAGTGTGGCGATGGGCTCACGTGAAAGATGTTTTGTACCGGCAATATATGCAGTGGAAACTCACGTGTGTACTGTAGCGGGAAGCATGACTTGCATCGCCCCTCACGAAGAGTCAACGTGACGCAGCCGGAGCGACGGTGTTTCGCGTCCTCATCCAGCAGCACCTCGTAGAGAGTCTTCAGTGAAACCGGCCACGTGCGGAAATAACTGTTCGGATTACTGTCCATCATTGTCAGACTCTCCGTCGCCGAGTTGTAGTCAACGACAATGCCGGTGGAACCAAACGGATGGGAGGCACCAAATATTTCAATCTTTTCCTTATTGAAGAGCAAAAAAAGAACCCGGTTGGTGTTCTTGACGCTCTCCACGACGAGGTTCCTGAAGTCCTCCCATAAAATGCGAGGATCGCCCCCACAGCAGTGGTCGGTGTGGTACGTTTGCACATCCATCGAAAGGCCAACAGTGGCGATGTAAGTCGTCAGACAAACCGCCAATGACTCCACTGTAAAATAACGCAGCATCAACGAGGAGATCTCAAACGGCAACGCCATGATCACATCTTCAAAAGTCGTAGGCACACCCAATTTGGTCAAGGCAAGCGCAATCATGGTCGAGCTCAGCGGCAAGGACGGAAAATGAAATGTCTTGACAACTTCCGTACGCCCCCCGCCGAGCGACTCCTGTTCTTGAAGCAGCTCTAGACGACTCTGGACAGTAGACGCAATGCGACGTGGGGCACCGACGAGTGCTGGCTCTGGCACAAACCCCAACACCTGAGAGCCGCCACATGTGCTGCTTTCACTTGACTTGTTGCGAGATGCCGCCTCTCGTGATTTAGAAAATATGATGTAGCCGTTAGACGTCATTGCCTTGTGCAGGCGATCGAGGGGGCAGGTCCAGGTTTGCATAAATTTCTTCGAGTGCGCATCGATGAGGAGCACCATCTGCGTCTCCAAGTCGTAGCCGGCCAGCAGGCACCATTGAGGGACTTTCGAGATGTTCAAAACATTGTGAGCCACGTTCGCATTGTACATAATGGCCATGACGTGCTCCGGCGCCTCTGGATCTTCATTTGCATTCTGCACATCAATGATGATCGACTCCAGTTCAAAGACGGATATGGTGGGCACCGCATCGTCACGCGAAATTTTCGTCAAGACCGGATAGACGGCAACATTATAGTTGCGGTTGGTGATGCGCACGTACTCGCGCGCGTACCTGAACACCTCTCCCAACGGCAGCGAGCCGTCAATAAAGACATCGGCCGGGAAACGCATCTGACGAATAATGTCCGATACAGGCAAACCGTTACCGTACCCATGGGAATTTGGACGCACGCCGCCAAGCAGATGCATCGCCCAGGCAACAGCAACAATGTGAGGACTGATATGTGTCGATACCACAGATGCATGAATACCCTGTAGCGTTGAGCCAATCACTTTACCGCTGCTTAATTCTGGGGCAAACATGGATTGTACCTCGTCGTTTGTCATCACAGGCACGCTGTCCTTTCGGAAGATACGGATAAACCCGCGGCTTCGTCCACCACTATTAACAATCGTCATGGCCTTATAGAGCGCAGCCGCCGAAACCTCCATCAGCTTCACATGGAGCGATTCCCCAACAACACCTTCGGCAAGTGTCACCATTAGTTGCACCACGTTGCGCACATCCACAATAACGGCGTAGGCGCCTCTGTTGTTTCGCCCGTAGAGAGGCGCAGCATGGCGTGCATTTATAAGTGCCGATGCCGCCAGTGCAGAATGACCCTCATCCTCATCATCAAATGCGTCCACAAGGGTCTCCTGTTGCAATACGTATGGGTCATAGCTAACAATGCGGATAAGTTGTGTTTCTTCTTCGCAGTCATGTGTGATAACCTTACTGAACTCTGGTAACTGCATTCGTCTCTGCCGGTCACCGACATCATTACTACCGAGCTCCACCTGGCCAAGCGTCGGTGAAATGTCAAAGTGCATGACAGAGAGGCCATATTCATTTTTGAAGCGGTTGTCCACGCTAATGAAATCGCGTATTATATCTGACATTACCGGAAGTCCCTGAACACCACCATGAAGGTAATGCAGCGGGACATGCGCTGCAAAAAAAATATCCTCAACGGTAACTCGTTTCTTGCGGTCTTTACATCCCTTTTCGCCCCCAAGCAGATACGAGAGCGCCACCGCCGTTGCTCCGAAATGACTGCACTCCATAAGGCTGGCATCCTCCTCCGGCCGTTCAATCTCGTAACTCTTAAAGAAATTCATGCGCGCCTTACGGATCCCCAAAACTTCCTGACGCTTATGTTTCGTGTGCTGCCCCGTTGAGGAGGCCATCTTTGAGGCATCCGTGATGCTATTGTTGTTCGCCGCGGCCGCGTAAGAGACGCCAATCGCCAACGTGCGCGGGCTGGCCTCTGTGGACGTCTGGTTGGGCCGCTGCTGTGATGCCTGTGGCAGTACTACCTGCGGCACCTGCTGTTGACTAGCACCGGCGACAAGGGCAGAGGCAGAGGCCGAGGCGCCAAATGACACCTGCGAGGAGCGGCGCATCCCACGCGCCGATGGATCCAATCCGTCCTCCCCCGTGCTTGGGCGTTGATCCGTTAAGCCCCCGGCGTTGGAGTAAATTCGGTCCTGGTCCATCATGCCTCGATTTGTGCGGGCCACCTGCTCGAGTTCCTTCAGAGCAGATTCCCACTTTTTGATGTGCGTCTCCACGGCGACGTCGGAAGAAGACTGTCCACCCCCCATTTTAGTGCCACGCCACTTCCCCCTTCCTTTCTTTGCCCAGACGCTTCTTTTCTCCCTCCTCGCGCTGCACCACTGCAGTAAATGAATGCACGTATCTACGTACCCTCCCTCGCTTGCGCGGAAATACCTATGAAAGCGCCGCATCAACGAAGGTCAATAATAATATAAAAAAAGAAGTACGACAATGTAGAAAACCAGAAACAATAAAAAGGGACACACACACACACACACACACGCACAGTACACGTACACTCTTTCTTTCTCTTTCTTTCACTCCACACTTACACGCGCACAGGCCCCGTTATGAGAGGAGCCAAACAACAGCGGAGAACCAACAGTGCCACTAAAATACATAAAGCACAATACAGCACAATGAGGCCAGTCACAGAGAGTGAGCAAGCAACGACCTTTTATCACGGACACACATAAAATCGTGTTAAAAGCCAAAAAAAAAAATTTCTTTTAAAAAACCCTGATCAAACTATAATAAAAATTACAAAAGAAAAAAAAAAAAAGACAGAAACCCCCTATGATTAAATTCCTAGCCATTGTTTCAGATAAAATTTCACGGCGCGCCGCTGCGCCTTGAGTGACGGGTGGTTGAGTGGATTTGTTGCGGCCAAGTCGCCACAGTGACCGCAGCCATTGCATTGCGCCGTTATTACAGGGTAATCTTCGCTTAGCGCCTTTTTCACACCAGCCGTCAACCATGGGTCGTCTAAAGCCTGTGTTGCCACCACTCTTGTGGCATCGGGATGTGCTCCCCCATGTTTTTTATTAAAAGCGTAGGTGTCGGGCAGTATTGCCTCGCCAAACGCCGCACGGCACTGATACATGAAGTACGAGGTGTTGACCTCCCTCGGCCGTAAACCGCCCGGGAAGCCTGTCTGCCAGTAAGCCAGCTGCGAGCAACACTGATAAGCCCAAGCGTAGCCTTCTTTCCAGCTTTCACTGTAGCTCGGATTTGACAGGCACTCGGTGCTGTAGTAGCAGCTTCGCGTAAATTCTTCACCCCAGAGTAATTTCATAAGCTCAGCGTACCGCCTGAAAAGTTCTCTCTCCTCGGTAAACTCAATAGATGAACACAGTTTGTCCTTGTATCCATACTGAATCGCCATCGCAGCGCCGTCCGCAAGCATCCACGCCATGTCGGGCTTGGTAAAATAATTCGGTGTGCCAAAGGTTTTCATCATTTTAGCACGACGATTGGGGTTGTCATACGCCTTTGAGAATTTGCCAAAGACGGTGCGTACCGCGGCGGCACAGGAAGAAGGAAGAACTTTCAACAAGTGTCCGTCAAACGCCTCGTAGTCAAATATGGCATTCACGACACCACTGCTGCTCCACGCAGCGTCAAAGTCCCCCGGGTATTTTGCTCTCGCCCACGCGCTCAATGCCCCCGCGTAACTCCCACCCACAATCAGCCACTTCACTTTCTTCTTCACCACTTTTTTCTCAGCGTATTTCTTGAAGGCCTGAAGGTCCGCGAGGGCATTCTCCACCGTCAGATACTTCAGCATCGATCGATTGGTGAGGGGAGCAGGCATGCTCTCGCCGTAATAGCGGTGCTCCAGAGAGAAAATAATGGCCTTGACAGATTTACCGTATTCCCCAACAAATCCCCCATCCGGTAACCCGGGCGCGGTCCCCTCGCCGTTCACCAACAAAATGGCGGGACCAGAATTGGCATCCCAGGAGGATCGGTCCACCCACCAACGCTGCCTAAAGGTGCCCAAAGTGACATCCGCGTGATCGACCCGCTGATTGTAGTACCGTGCGGCATTATTGTGCACGTCATGGCGTAGTTTTTCTTGGCCACCAGACCCCTCCTTCAAACTGCGCCGCAGTGCCGCACGGTAAACTTCCCCATGACGCGCCCTTGAGGGAATGACGGAGGGATGTAGGGCCGTCACAGGACCGCTGAACGCGACAGCAAGCAGCCCCAGCACGACCATCAAGGCGTGTGCGCCCAAACAATACTTCATCTTTTCGTAAAATGATTTCTAATTAAAAAAAGGTAAAAATGTATAACTACTTTCCTTTTTGTTGTTGTTGTTGTTGTTGTTGTGTGTGTGTGTGTATTGATCCCTACTTTGCTCGGCTCTACGAATGCCACGCACGCACAAGAGAGTAAAAAAAAAAAAAAAAAAAGGTGTGGAAGCCCGACGCCACCCAAAATGGCCGTCTCTAAACACCGCCACGAGCAGCAGCGGTGACAGTTTCCCTCGTCAAAAAAAACGCCACACACGCACGCGCAAAGGCCCCGTTACGAGAGGAGCCAAACAACAGCGGAGAACCAACAGTGCCAGTGAAAAATAATGGAGCAAGACGCAGCATCAAGGCCAGTTACGGAGAGTGAGCAAACAACGACCTCGTACCACGGACACACGGTGAGTTTCTTGTTGTTACTTTATCGTCGTCTGGAGTTCGAATCGTCAGGGTCCACCAGGCCCAAAGCGATGTTGCTGAGAAGTGACGACACCTCGCCTTGGCCCTCCCCCGCGCCTCTGTCTCCCGTGCCCAGCCGACCCTCCAGTTGCCGCTCCTCCTTCTCCAGCCTCTCCGTCACCTCCTGCATCTCCATCATCTCCTTGTTGATCTCCTCAAAAACCGCCGTCTCCCGCTTCACCTCCTCCTCGTGGCGACTGCGGAGATCTTCAAGCTGCTGCTGCAACTCCTGCGCCGTTGCCATCCTCCTCCCTCTGAGAGCCCACGGAACCACTCAACCCACTGGAAAAAAAAAAAAAAAAAAAAAAGAGAGAGAGAAAAGAAAAACGCAGGATGCTCACCACAACTAAGAAACAAAAGCCATGAGGAGCAAGACAAAAATCACATTTCCCTCCCTCCCACCCAACCCGCTCTGCACATCTTATGGTTGTTTTTATTGGTTTGGCGCTTCGCTGCTTGGTTTTTGCGCCCAACCCCTCCCTGAAGAACGGTTTGGTTCTCGCAGCAACTACTTGCGCCAAAACGCACAAAGCCGTGTTGATTGACGCCCAGAAATGTGCCGCTTGCTCATGCGAAGGAGCAGTTGGTTGCGTGGCGGGAATAGCAACGTGGCCGGGCCACAGGCCTCACAGAACACACAAACCACAAAGAAGACAAGCGCGGAGGGCCAAAAAAGAAAGGAAGGAAGAAAAGGCATGTCTCACGCCGCTTTGGTAATGCAGCACGCAACTGAGAAATTGCCCGGTGTGCACCGCGTAGCAGACGTTTTCCCTCGTTTTATTCCCCTTTCTGAGTTTGCCCCGCGTATCGGTGAAAAAAGACGAGGAGGGAAATGAAAAGGTCTGAAGAGTGCGTGGAAAAAAAAAACAAAAAGGAAAGTGAACCGGCGTCGCTGTATCTCGCGTCAATGCACTAGGCAGCCGCAGGCATGATGTCTTCCGCTGAAGGCTCAACGGCGCCGGAAAGTTGACACTCGTATTTTTCTGCTTGCCGCCGCAGTTGTTCTTGACTGCCAGCAGCAGGGCTGGCGCAATGGTGGACATGCCCCGCCGTGTCTACATGAAGTGGCAATCCGGCAAGAAAAGAGAAAAAAAGAGAGAAAAAAAAAGAAAAAAAGACAATTGTTTATACATGCAAAGAAGAAACTCGCAAATGCTCCAAAAAAAAAAAAAAGAAAAAAAAAAAGAAAAGAAAACAACTCACAAAAAGAAAGGGTGGAGTAGAGACGCCAACACATTTGTTTCTTCGTTTTTGCGCGTCTACGTTGCACGCATCTCATCCATCCGTCCATAACCACACACAAAAAAAAAAAAAAAAGGAAAAGGAAAAACACATGCATGCTTCTTTTTTCGCTCTCGCTTCTTCCTTCACGTTCAGTGCCTTTTGATCCCCCGGCGGTGCGCCGTGTTGACCCGTCGTATGGAATGGCAGGCCAAAATTGCGGGGTAATCCCCGCGACACAACAAGCACCGCCCAAACTTTAAGTAGCAGAACAAAAAAAAAAAAACTTGCTCGTAATAAAAAAAAAAGCGGGTAATCGCCGCAAAATGATATCAGCCACGCACGCACACGTTGCAGACGCACAAAAAAAAAAAAAAGAGAAACGGAAAATAAAAGAAAAAAAGAGGCACCACTTGCATATCTATCCTTAAATGTGCGTGCCAGCGGGTTCTACGAGGTGCAAGCAACAAAAAGTGAGACTTGCAAAAACCACATCCCGGTTTTATCTCATTTCTTTTGGGGAGGTTCCTTCTTATCTGGGTGTCTCTCTCTCTCTCTTTCTCTCTCTGTGTGTGTGTGTATTTCTGGATGAATAAATGGATGGGTCTCCTCACGTTTGGTAGGCCTCTTCGTACAATTTCCAGCAGGCGTCACAGTAATTGCCTGGGTCCCGGCGATGGTTGTTTGTACGCCACACGGAAACATTCTCCTGCCTACAGTCGCTGCACTTTCCTACAAATGAATTCTGCGCACGCCTCACAGTAAAAGCTAATAAACCCTTCCTCCGGGGCAGCTTCTCGCGCACAACAGGCCTTTCCGCTTCACCGTGCTGGCGGTCCTCCACCTGCAGTATGTCATGCACCCCCGGGTATTGAAGGAGAACGTCGATGAGTGCAGGATCCCGCACTGCCGTCGGGAGTACATCCTCCAGTTTCACGCGTACCTCTTCAATCTCCATGGACGCATCCCGCCAAACGCGTGACAGGGCATTCACGTGTACCTGCAGAACATCCCTTTCCGCCGCGGTGCGGAAGGCACGGCCGCATGCAAAGAAGTACGCCCCTCGCACCGACGCAGGGACCTCTTCATCGGGGATCCCCAAACGACATGCTGCGCGCATCTTCTCGTCAATTTCGTGTAGGCATGAGCGAGGTGAGGGTGGTCGCTCCGTGCCGTCGACACGTCCCGCATCCCCCTGATGAGCGTCGCCATCAATACCACCTTCCTCGGCATGAGGACAAGTCGGGTCGTGAGTGCTCTCCTCCTCGGTATTGGAGGGGTTGCTGCGTTTGCTGTTGTTGTTGTTGTTGCATATCTGCAGGAGCATATTGCAGAGGGATTCGAGTGAATACTGCACTTCGTAGTAACCCAACTTCTCCTCATCGAGCCGCGAGAGGATAAAATCCCGCGCCTCTGACGGCGACAACTCCGTCAGTCCCTCCTCGTACACGATGCGGTGTAACAACGCCCGCAGCGTGATGCTCGCCAATGCTCTAGCGTCCTCGAGGAGCCGCTCCGGCCGGCCACGCATCAACAAACTGTGGGCGACAACAAACTGCGATTGCACAAAGGCAAACTTCTTGGGCGAGAGATGGCGTCCGAGATTTAAATTGTCCTCATACGGGTCCTCGATGCACATGCGGTACCAAACCCGGTCCCTCAACCTGATTGCTTTCACCTCGGAGGCCTCCACCCAGCCAAGACTCTCCCGTGTCACATCTCCATCCCGCGCTCGCAACGAGACAACAAGCTCCTCCCATGGAAAACACGCATAGAAGGAGAAGAAACCCGCTACACAGGAACCAAGTTCCCCTCGCATTGGCTCCAACTTTGGGGATTGTGACACACTCCTCATGGATTCACCGCCATCGCCGTCATCTCTCAGGAGAGGAAGGTATGAGACCTCCAGCTGGTCAATAGACGGCGTGAGGGAAAAAGATGCGGGGTCAATATATTCGACGAGACCACGCCGCAGCAAGTAGTACGCCCAAAGGACCATGATGGCGTAAGACGTCAGATATCCCCTCAGGGCATTGTTAATTCCACTTTGTTTACTCCATCGTTTGAGAAATGCAAGACCCGCCCGAGCCACAGAATGCTGGGAGAAATATTGACGCATAAACCAGCTGTTACGCACCCCTAGCGGCCTGCAGCTGATGTCAAAATCGAGAGAAAAGATATCCGGTAACTGATGATCGGATTTCCATCTCTTCGTCACATTTCCCAGTCCCCGTTCCCTGGCCTGGTAATACCGCAGTGCATCATGGGCCGTATTCAAGTGAAGCGTCACTTCATTTGGACAATTCTCCTCCACTTTGATCTGTCTATCCCGTGCCTCCCGCAGAAAATCATTGTACGCATTCCTGGGAGGTGGTTCCGAGAAGACGTAGACAAGCTTGAAGCCGTCGTGCCTCATCGGGATACGCAGAGGTGCTCGTACCTTTTGTTTCCTCTTCAATACAGGCACGCGCGTCCGGACAACAGGCTCCAACTCACTATACAAGAAGCCGGCATTGCGGAGTGCACCGGCAATCTGAAAAATGCATCGCGTCTCATCCGGATTCTCCCACACTCCTTCCTTCAGTCGCCAGCCATGAGAGGATTCCAATACCGTGAAATCGGCGTCGCCGACGCCATCCCATGAGCCACACGCGACGCAACCCCCAAAGAGGAAGACCTGTGCGTTCCTCATAAAACTGCCGATAATTTCATTGAGCTGTTTAGATGCGCGCTGGATCACCGCAAATGCCTCCCGGCCCATGTCCAGCTCCGCGACACTCTCCATCACAAAAAGGCCAAGATTGCCAATTTGCTCCAGTGGCACAGGTCTCATGCACATTTCCTTCGCCTCTACTGAAAGGACTTTGCCGCACCAGTTTGCCAGCTCCGCGTGATGGCGTTGTTGGTGCAGGTCTTCGTCCTCGGAAAGAAATTCGTTGCAGAGATCGCACCTAAGGTAACCCTGGCCCGCCTTCTTGTCTTCGGCCGTACCGTGTGGCATGCACCAGCCCTCCTCCTCCTGCTCCTCCGCCAATGCAAAGTCTTCAACTCCGCCGCACCCCACACCGGCGTCCGCGTTCAGGGCATCGTCCTCATGATTCCTCTTCAGCTCATCCCTCGTCTCCGTGGCTCCCACGGCGGGAGAAGCCCTAATGTCCATGGCCTGCCAACCCCCCTTCTTCTCCTCCCCCATCCCTCTTTCGACTCCGCTCCACTCCTGCCAGACACACACAAAGTGAGATAAGTCCAGTGAAAGGTAGAAACAAAAAATCAACAAAGAAGAAAAAAAATTTGAAAAGTAGGACGTCAATATGAAAAACGGCCCACGCGCGCACACACACACACATAAAGAGAGACACGGAGAGAAACGAACAGGCGGCAGGACGCGAAGAGGCCGCTTTCACATGGACAAAGACACACATACACACAAACAAACACCACAAAAAAAAAAAAAAGACATAAAAGACAAATTAGTCAAACTTACTAGCCAACAGTGTACCGCATTCGCAACAACACCACACTCACGCGGTTCCAGAACAGAAAGCCGCCTCCACAGAAGCACGCATAGATAAATAAAAACCTCACAGAGTCGCATCCTTTCCTTCGCGGAAGGACAAGTATGCAGGAGATTCTTTCAGAGGGCTCACAAAGGCGCTCTTGCTACCCACACCTATGCTTAAATTATTCATATCCATCCCTTCCAACCCGATGCAGGGGCAGAGTGTTTTGTCCATCAAGCCTAAACAAGAGTCAAAGACAATGCCTTGGTACTCGCCATTGACAAACAATTGAACAAGCCCCACGTTTGTGTCAACGAGAAAGCCAAAGCGGGCGCCTGATACAGGGACAAACAGACGCCACAATTTCTTCTGCTCCCTGCCGTTAATCTCCACTGTGGAAGTCTGGCAATTAAAAACCCAGCAATTGTCAGAAGACGGTATCTCACCCTGTGCGGAAAAGTTGCACCGTTTGCCGAGCTCAACCTCCTGAAGGTCACCATCCGTGCGGAATGCCTCCTCCGTGCACAGGCCGAGCTTGCATGCATCTGTATTGGTCGTAATCTCGTAGAAAAATTTCCCCTTGCCTGGTGGCAGCGCGAGGCCACCAATCACTGGCCTGTAGGGGCTTACACCACCGCCTTTATGTAACACCTGTGGCCCCTGCACAATATATCCGTCGCCAGCCCGCGCCCAGCCAAAAGTGACGGTTGTGATGCTCTCGTCATGCTTCACAATTTCCATGCCTCATTAGAGTCTTGCAAAAACAAAACAAAAAAAAAAATTGATTGCGTGTGACCTTCTGCGGGCCTTTTCATTCCCTCGCGTGCAGAAGCGGGACGCCGGGAAAAGGGTGGGGAACGGCACTCCACCTAAGTTGCTGGCAAGAGCACACATAAGAAAAGAGAAAAAAACACATTTATTTTTGAGCCGATCAAAAAGAAAAAAACAAAAACAAGGGAGCAATTGGAGCGCAAAAGAAACAGGAGAAACTGACCAAAAGAGTAGACAAGGGGCGAAGCGCACCTCGGCGCCCTTACACCTTCCCCCTCAATGTTTGCCTCACTCTGCCCTGCTTCTTTGCTTCGATTCCTGAAAATAAGCAAGCTGCCGAGTCGCTCTCTCTCCCCCCCCCTCCGCACGACGTTGCCGCCAGAAACCGCAAATCCGTGCCACGTTGCAATGACGAGGAGCGGTCTCATCCCTCAATCGCCGTCGCCACCGTGCAGCTCCCCTATCCTCGCCCTGCACCTCGCAACAATTAGAAAAGGAAAAGGACCACGAAAGAAAAAAAAAAAAAAAAAATGTGTTAAAGACAGAGCGGCAGCAGAAAGCAGAAAAGTTTTAATGTCGTACAGGGTGACAGCCGGAGGAAAAGAAAAAAAAAAAAAGAAGACACGCAAAATATTTGAAGCAATTTAAAAAAAAAATGGACTTGAGGAACAAAGCATGGCAAAGACGGTGATGACGCGACAGCAACCACCAATCCGCTTACTTTTTCTTCGTCTGCATCTTGCCCTTCGCCTTGCCGCGGATCTTCTTGTTGCGATTGCGGCGCTCCTTCACAGACTTACGGGCCGGCTGCTTCTTCTTGCCCATGCCGAGACGGGCCTTGCGGTAGTTGGGCTCAATGCGCTTCAGGGCGGCGAGGTCGTCGTAGATGAGACCGAAGCCGGTCGTCTTGCCCCCACCAAACTTCGTCTTGAAGCCAAAGACGGAAATCTGATTCTCGTCGGCGACCTTGTAGAGCGACGCAAGGCGGCTGCGGATGAGCTTCGCGGGGACGGTGCCGCACCAGCCGGGGTGGTTCACCTCCACGATGAACTGCTTGCGGTTGAGCAGCTTGTTCACCTTGAACTGCGACGTGCGGACGGTCACCTCCGCCTTCTTCTTCTGGAAGACCATGTCTTTTTCCTCTGTTCCCCCCACAACGACAAGATGCGGGCGTATGCGAAAGAAGAGAAAAGGGAAAAAAGAAAAAAAAAGATTTAATGAACAAGAAAAGGGCTCGCCGACAGCTAATACACGGCGACCCTTTGCCCCCACAGCACACACACACACACACACACGTCGTGAACACAGCACCAGAGTCTCACATGCCGCCCATCACGGATGGGAAAAAGCGGATGGTGCGGAAAAAAAAAAAAAAAGCAAACAAAACAGAAAAAAAAAAACAAATGAGTTCGCAGGGAATAGCACAAACTCCACAACACCAATCCGCTTACTTTTTCTTCGTCTGCATCTTGCCCTTCGCCTTGCCGCGGATCTTCTTGTTGCGATTGCGGCGCTCCTTCACAGACTTACGGGCCGGCTGCTTCTTCTTGCCCATGCCGAGACGGGCCTTGCGGTAGTTGGGCTCAATGCGCTTCAGGGCGGCGAGGTCGTCGTAGATGAGACCGAAGCCGGTCGTCTTGCCCCCACCAAACTTCGTCTTGAAGCCAAAGACGGAAATCTGATTCTCGTCGGCGACCTTGTAGAGCGACGCAAGACGGCTGCGGATGAGCTTCGCGGGGACGGTGCCGCACCAGCCGGGGTGGTTCACCTCCACGATGAACTGCTTGCGGTTGAGCAGCTTGTTCACCTTGAACTGCGACGTGCGGACGGTCACCTCCGCCTTCTTCTTCTGGAAGACCATGTCTTTTTCCCTGGACTAGTATTTGAAAGCAGGCATTGCGTGAAAAACAGAAATACAGAAAAGGGAAAAAAGGGAACAGAGTTTACGTTTCCAACCAAAAAAAAAAAAAAAAAAAATTGGGAAGGAAAAGACAGTTAAAACCATGCAAGAATGAGGGAAGAGGGAGCAGGACAGGTATGTCCTTCGGTGTCTCTCGGTCTGTGACTGATCTCACATCAATGGCTTTGGTCTTTACATCTTGAAACGTACAGAAAGGGATGCATTGTCAATTAACTCTCCACCCTTTTGGGATTTTTTCTACTGGAGACTTGCAGCCGCTCCGCAACGGAGCCAACAGCCTGAAGCGTCACGTCAGCAAGCACTTCCTCCAGAAAGTTAACCACAGCGCCACGACTCCGCACCGTCTCTCCCGGCTTCATTGCAGAAACCGCACTGTGTGCATCGTCCGTCTGCCTCCCGTCCGCCTTTTCGGCTAAAGAGACGCACGACCGAACGACGCCACTCGGTATGGATTCAGACTGATTGAACAATAAAGCTGAAACAGCACCACCGGGGCCGGCGACGGGGCCAAAATCTGCATGAACCATTTCTCTGTAGTAGGGAATGTCCTCCCGGACAGGCTCCGTGAAGGAAGCGTAAACCTGTGGCCGTGTGATGGTGGCGCGCAGCATCCCATCCAGCACCCTCAGTGCCACGGATGCCTCATCAGAAGAGTACACGCCAATCCCGTCCAATTGATTTCTGCGTGACAGGGAGAAGATTTGCGGGATCCACATAGTTCTGGCAAAGTGTAGGGAAGTGCATCTGCTGCAGGGCCCGCTTTCCATAGAGATCCTCATATTCCTCGATGGGCATAATCCGCGCTTGGACCAGTACTTCAAGCGAGTGCCCCACCATCACAGACGTGTCTTTTGGTTCTGGCAGTCCCAGAGACGCATGGATTTGAGTATTCGTTATCGTCGGCGTCAAGACAGCAGCAGCAGCGGCGGAAGCAGCAGGAGCAACCGCCCGCACACTCTGATCCTCTGATGGAAGAAAATTTACCGGCAACCGTTTTCTATTATTGCCAGGCGGACGTGGCTTCGTGCACGTGGAACGTTCAAAGGTCTTTCCGGGCGGCGTTTTGGCATCGAGTAGCGGGTCGTCAAATGCATCCTCTTCTGCCGCCTCACTCTCTGCAAACTTGCCTTCGGCGGCGGAAAACTCCAGGGTCCGTGCGCCTTTCCCGGCAGCGGTGGACGTCGCTTCGTTGCTGAAGTAGCAAAATATGGGGGTCTCCAAAATTTGGCTCAGACTACCGCAGTAAAGGCTTAGGCAGCATCGCACTTTTTGTCCCGGGCCAAGCACCCCGCTGGGGGGTGTCACCTTCATGATCGAGCTCCCTGGCTCAAGGTGGGTCTTCCAAAGAAACGAGTAAGTGTGAGTCGGGTGTTCGTTCTCCAGGTAGCATAAGCGACGGTGAAGCGAAAAACTTGGAGCCGCCCCAACACGCATCACGTTCATCGACAACGTCAAAGGGCACTTCTCCACTGGAAGACGAAGTGCAGACGAAACAGGGATGGGCAAAAAGGCATCGTTTGTCATGGCGCGAACCGTCTCCGGTGGGACCTTCTTGGGGTGGTAGCCGGCACCCACAAACTGCAGGCAGTAATCCTCGCCACCCGCTGTGCGCAGCGAGACCTTGACGCTGTACGTTCGAGCCTCTAGCGGGCGGAAGTACCATTTTAGCTGTGCTGACCCTCCAGCAGGAATCACGCCGGATGGGTTAAGACACTGAAAAACCGGAAATCCACAATTCTTCTCTGCCACCCGTTGCTCCAAATCCTCCTGCAGGATGTACTTCACTGGATGGGGGGCCACGTTTTCAATTGTCGTGATCTGCAATGGGGGCTCCAGGTCGCCAAGAGCCACAGGGTGAAGATTATATACAGAAGGATGATGAAATGCCAGTGCATTGGCGTCGGGTGAGACGGTGCGTCCCTCCAAGACCAACAGTGCCTTCTTGCCCTCATCCAAGCGAAGCAACACCGGAAGAGAATGCTCTCCTACCACAGTGTGGCGATAGGTGATTGTGATCACCTTCCGCGAACCCACCGGAATCGTTCCTTCCCGCGGCGAGATTTCCAACAGACGGTCGCAAAGAATTTGTTGTACATCCTCCAACTCCTCATCGTCAAGAAACCATGTCTCGTTACCTCCCTCGTGTTCGGTTGGATCCCAAAAGCGAAACAACGCCGGGCCGGATCCTGCATTCTCAAAACAGAGTAAGACCTCCTTCCTGGCATCAAGGACGTTGCCCACACCCAAATCCATAAAGATCGGCTCAAGACCACGAATGTACCGCAGAAATGCAAAAGAATCGGTCTCCAAGTCGGTGGACTGTACGGGTGCCGCAAGAACTTCATTAACGCTGTTGATAGCAAGCTGACACCACAATTGAGATCGGTGTTGTTCCAAAGAGCCCACATCTGTGATTTGAACAGCCGGTCGCGTGCCTATCAACTGTACCTCGCAGTGTGGGTGCTGCCGCACCTCTTCCAGAGTTGTTGGATGGGGTATCGTGCCCAGTGGCACCCCGCTCCCAGCCACAATTATATACAAGATGTACTCCGAGAATCCTGTCTGCGGTCGCAAGGTCACGAGCACGACGGTGTGGGAGCGTGCCGAGAGTGTCCCACATTTGTTATGACTCAATTGCACAGATGGCGCTCTATGATCGTGATGATGTGTCGGCGCCGTCTTTGAGAGCCAGCGCACCTCGTAGCACACATCACAAAGGCTGCTGTTGTAGATGGTCCACTCGAAGGTCTTCTCCTGCATGGCGGGACCCTCGTGCTGCATGACCACCGGCTCCACTTCAACCACGGCGTACTGACCCTCAGCCGTGCATGGACACGAGATAAGATTTTTCTGGTCCTCCTCCGCCCGGTTGACGCTGCCACGTGAGGATGTCATCCTCTTGGTGTCCGTATGAGAAATGAAAAAGTTGATACGTCCCTCGTACATCATTCCCTCGCTTGGGGTAAAGAGCAGCGTCAAGTGCATCTGCTGCCCAGCCGCAAGAACACCGGAGGCAGGGTCCACTTGCAGCACATGAGCGAGCTCCGTTGAGGGTTGCACGTAAAATGTAATCGGAATACACGTCGGGTTGAATATACTTAGTGGACGCCGTGCCTCGCCCGTCACACATGTGGGGCGCAGGACAATCATGGAGCTGTCCTCGACGACCAGTTCGGGTGAGAAACTCTCACCGCACAGGGCAACCTCAATCTCGTCCTCCGGACTATGGTTAAGCGTGATGGTTGCCCTTCCACGAAATCGTTCGGCAATTTTTGGAAGAAACCAGAGTACAACAGGGAGGCGCTGTTTTGGGGACATGATTCCATGCACCGGGTCGCTGAAGACAATCCGCCTGTCAGAAGTGTCGGACTCCATTTTGCCTTTTGGTTCCAACAAATCGATGTGAATGCCGATTGTAAACATGACCGCCACATCACCCCTGTTCTCCAGGTCCAGGACGGCGTGCACAATGTCGTCCGCGCGACACGCGGGAAAACTGATTGACCTGCTGGTGTGGATCAACGGCGCGATTGTCCCTGCATTTAATGGGTTGATATTCAACTCCCGCTGGCAACGCACGGTGAAGAAATGGGGTGGCGTGAAGCCCCCTTCATCTACAAGGCGAAATGAACACATCTGCTTGAAGTTCACATAACACTCGAGGAACTGATCCGAAACGGGCGAATAGGCGTCGGCGTGCATCGTCACAGTAAATGTGAAGCATGCGTGGGGTGGTATTTCCTCCTGCAACGGCACCACCAAGAAAGCACAACCCCTCGGAATACACCAGTACGCCACCGCGGGGGCATTGGTCCTATTGTACACCGAAATATGTTGAGGCTCCTCTGCATCATGTGCAAACACCAGTTTGTCTGCGCCAACACAGAAGGGCGCGTTCGCGGAAAACGGTGTCATTAAATACGAGAGATCCAATCGTCCTTTACGCTTCCTCGTGACGCCCTTGTGCTGCTCCTCTTGGGATGGTACCGGGCCTTGCGACTCCGACACTGAGGCCAACAACATGCACGCCGTTTCTTCGTATGAATGTCCAGTTCGCAATGCGTCGGTGATGGCGACAAGATCTTCCGGCTGGGCCCCCGCAAGACCATACTCGTGTCGCAAGAAGAAGGCCTCCACGTCACTCGCCTTGCATGGCATGGGGCGTGTAAAACTGTCGTAGGCTGTGCCAAAAAGGTCGACATACAAAAGGTTCTCCAAATGCTTGACGAGAATGAAGAGCCGGCGCAGATAATTAATGGGGTACTTGGGGTGAAATTCCACCTTCACCCGCACGGAGCCTTTTGCCGGGAGTTCTCCCGAGACCGGCTCCACCACAAACACCGCACCCGGTGAATTGGGCATAAAACAAAACTCCTGCGCCATGTCAGAGGCATTTTTGATGAAAAAAAAACGCTGAGGGGCGCCGCTTCGATCTTCTGCGACTGAATACGGTTTCTTTGTCGGTGTCGTCACCACCCCATCCTCCCCGAGCCGCACATCACCAAAGTCGATTGTCGTCGTTGATGTGTGCACGCTGGGGGCGAGAGCCACGCCCCGCAACTGCACAGAAACGGTGTTCCCGGTGGGCGTCACCACCCGGTAGGCGTTCACGTACACCATGCCCGACACGGCGGGTGCAAAGACAACCTTGAACTTTTGCGTCGCGCCACGCCGGATGACACCGGTGGCTGGCGTGATGGTGAAAGGGCGGGAGATGGCGTTGTCTGCGGTCTCCAATGCGAAGACGGCATCCACCATGGAGGGGTTCTCGAGGCTAAACTCCTTGGTCCGCGATGTGGCTGTCAGCAGAGAGCCAAAGTCGAGCAGCAGTGTGTTGCCCCCCTGCGGTGGCCGCGGCTCCACAAGACGAATGAAGGGATATTTGCCTATCCCAGACAACTTCATGGACGCCAGCACCTCGTTGTTGTCGGTCATCTTGCAGACCGCCTGCGCCACCAAAGCACACGCCTCCGTTGGCGTAAAAAAGAGAGTCAACTCAATCGACTCGCCCTCGTCAATCACGCCGTGGCCGGGCAAAATCACAAATGGTTCCATGACGCACCACTCAAACGCCACGGTTACGGTACCGGTGTTTTTCATCTTCACGGTGTGCGTCGCCGTGCTGCCTACTGCCAGATAGGAAAAGTCATGCTGGGGCGGCAACAGCAGCCTTGTGTACGGTGTCTGGCACTCCAAGCGCACCGGAAAGCTGCCTCGCCCCATCACGGAGACTTTAACCACATCCTGCAGTTCAACAAGATCCGTTGGGCGAAAGCGCACCTCAAGATCAAAGCTCATGCCGCTGCTGAGGGTGACCGGCTCCGGGAAGTTCAAAAGAAACACGTGCTTCCGCAGCGGCTGCTCGTACTGAATCGTTTGCGGCCGCGAGTCTATATTCATTATCCGTATCTTTTTCACGTACTCATTGTTGGGCTCCCAGTGCCGCCACACGACACGGCCGACACAGTCAATCCCAAGTTTTCGTCTGCGCCGATCCCGGTTGTCAACAAGAGATGGCATCCGTCAGGGGCAACACACGCGGATATTTTTGCTGCTTTATTTTTGTTTTATTTTTACTCCCCCACTTCTCCGGCACTAAAAAATGCGTACTGGCAATTTTAACTATTCGCCGCTGCTGACGACAAAAAAAAAGAAAAGAAAAAAACAGAGAAGACAACAGTGACAGATGTCTCCGGACATGCACACACACAGAAAGAGAGGGAGATATATATATATATATGAGGGGAAGCAGGCACCTTCATAAATAAATACACGACGGCCAGGCTCGTTATGCACCCAAAAAGGGCGGCAGTCTTCGTGGTGGGCGGATAAAAGGGACGAAAAAGACATCGCCCTCGCTGCCCTCCCGCTCACAGTGAGTTTCACAAATCCGATAAACCGAAATAAAAACAGAGGAGTTCAAAAGGACCCAACAGCACCACACACACACACATCTCACAGCACCGCACATTCCTTCCAGAAAATTTTGAAAAACAAACGCTCAAAAAAAAAAAAAAAAAAAAAAAAAGTAAAAATAATTCTCCCCATCATCCGCCGAACAAATAAAAGGGAAAGAATAGTCCTGGAATCTGCACATGTGGACTGCTGGCCGGATCCTGAGATTATCTTTAGAATAATCTTCTGGGCAGCTGGCCGGATCCTGAAATAATCTATTGAAACCAAACAAGTTAGGAAAAAAGGTTCGTTAGTTAATTGCTTCAATGTTTTCTTTTCATTCAATATATATAGAATTCTGTGGACCACTAGCATGGTCCTTAGTCCTCAGTTAGGATTTACATATTATTACTTACGAAGTGGCAGACTTTGGGGTCCTCCAACCACAAGACCCCGCCGCGTGGTGGGAATCAAGGGGGTGGGTGGGATGGCAAAATAAAACAAATATTATTTGGCCTCTATCGGCTCCCTGCCCCTACAAAGTCGCGTTCTTCCCAAAAGATTCATACGGTAGAAATTATCATAAAGAATGTCTTCATTTATCAGGATATAAACATACATTAATTAAGTTAGCCAGCTCTCCCGCGATCATTCTTTTCACAAGCTCCTATAAGCATATATATATATATTCCCCTCGTTGGGTAAGAGCAGGCGTCAGCCAGAACCGCATTCAGCCTGCGAGTCCGTCAAGTATGATACACGTCGGGTTGATATTCTTAGTGGACGCCGTGCCTCGCCCGTCACACATGTGGGGCGCAGGACAATCATGGAGCTGTCCTCGACGACCAGTTCGGGTGAGAAACTCTCACCGCACAGGGCAACCTCAATCTCGTCCTCCGGACTATGGTTAAGCGTGATGGTTGCCCTTCCACGAAATCGTGCGGCAATTTTTGGAAGAAACCAGAGTACAACAGGGAGGCGCTGTTTTGGGGACATGATTCCATGCACCGGGTCGCTGAAGACAATCTGCCTGTCAGAAGTGTCGGACTCCATTTTGCCTTTTGGTTCCAACAAATCAATGTGAATGCCGATTGTAAACATGACTGCCACATCACCCCTGTTCTCCAGGTCCAGGACGGCGTGCACAATGTCGTCCGCGCGACATGCGGGAAAACTGATTGAACTGCTAGTGTGGATCAACGGCGCGATTGTCCCTGCATTTAATGGGTTGATATTCAACTCCCGCTGGCAACGCACGGTGAAGAAATGGGGTGGCGTGAAGCCCCCTTCATCTACAAGGCGAAATGAACACATCTGCTTGAAGTTCACATAACACTCGAGGAACTGATCCGCAACGGTTGAATAGGCGTCAGCGTGCATCGTCACAGTAAATGTGAAGCATGCGTGGGGTGGTATTTCCTCCTGCAACGGCACCACCAAGAATGCACAACCCCTCGGAATACACCAGTACGCCACCGCGGGGGCATTGGTCCTATTGTACACCGAAATATGTTGTGGTTCTTCTGCATCATGTGCAAACACCAGTTTGTCTGCGCCAACACAGAAGGGCGCGCTCGCGGAAAACGGTGTCATTAAATAAGAGAGATCCAATCGTCCTTTACGCTTCCTCGTGACGCCCTTGTACTGCTCCTCTTGGGATAGTACCGGGCCTTGCGACTCCGACACTGAGGCCAACAACATGCACGCCGTTTCTTCGTATGAATGTCCAGTTCGCAATGCGTCGGTGATGGCAACAAGATCTTCCGGCTGGGCCCCCGCAAGACCATACTCGTGTCGCAAGAAGAAGGCCTCCACGTCCCTCGCCTTGCATGGCATGGGGCGTGTAAAACTGTCGTAGGCTGTGCCAAAAAGGTCGACATACAAAAGGTTCTCCAAATGCTTGACGAGAATGAAGAGCCGGCGCAGATAATTAATGGGGTACTTGGGGTGAAATTCCACCTTCACCCGCACGGAGCCTTTCGCCGGGAGTTCTCCCGAGACCGGCTCCACCACAAACACCGCACCCGGTGAATTGGGCATAAAACAAAACTCCTGCGCCATGTCAGAGGCATTTTTGATGAAAAAGAAACGCTGGGGAGCGCCGCTTCGATCTTCTGCGACTGAATACGGTTTCTTTTTCGGTGTTGTCACCACCCCATCCCCGAGCCGCACATCACCAAGTCGATTGCCGTCGTTGATGTGTGCACGCTGGGGGCGAGAGCCACGCCCCGCAACTGCACAGAAACGGTGTTCCCGGTGGGCGTCACCACCCGGTAGGCGTTCACGTACACCATGCCCGACACGGCGGGTGCAAAGACAACCTTGAACTTTTGTGTCGCGCCACGCCGGATGACACCGGTGGCTGGCGTGATGGTGAAAGGGCAGTGGATGGCGTTGTCTGCGGTCTCCAATGCGAAGACGGCATCCACCATGGAGGGGTTCTCGAGGCTAAACTCCCTGGCCCGCGATGTGGCTGTCAGCATAGAGCGTCCGGGCAAAATCACAAATGGCTCCATGACGCACCACTCAAACGCCACGGTTACGGTACCGGTGTTTTTCATCTTCACGGTGTGCGTCGCCGTGCTGCCTACTGCCAGATAGGAAAAATCATGCTGGGGTGGCAACAGCAGCTTGTTACGGTGTCTGGCACTCCAAGCGCACCGGAAAGCTGCCTCGCCCCATCACGGAGACCTTAACCACATCCTGCAGTTCAACAAGATCCGTTGGGCGAAAGCGCACCTCAAGATCAAAGCTCATGCCGCTGCTGAGGGTGACCGGCTCCGGGAAGTTCAAAAGAAACACGTGCCTCCGCAGCGGCTGCCGTATGAATCGTTTGCGGCCGCGAGTCTATATTCATTATCCGTATCTTTTCACGTACTCTTGGCTCCCGTCCGCCACGATACGGCCGACACAGTCAATTTCATATATATATATATATATATCAAGTAGGAAAAAAAAAAAGGAGGGTAAAGGGGAAAAACTGTAGTTCTACCACATACTCAATGTTTATTCCTAGCATAGATATATAGATAGATAGATAGATAGATAGACATGTGTATTCGCATATCACCGTCGTGACATTTTGCCCTCCATTCGGATTGGAGGCATTTGTTCCTTACAAATTGGCAGACTTCGGGCTCTTCCAGCCACAAGACCCCCGTCGCAAGCAGTGGGCATTTTTCAAAAAAAAAAAAAGAAAAAATAAACAAAATGCGTCTTTTTTTGTGATCGACTTGTTTATTTCGTCCATCGCGGTCTTCCAAGAAGATCCACAAAAATAAAATTAAAAAAGACGTACAGAAATATCCTCGTCCTACCCGCATATACATATAGATAGATAGATAGATAGATAGATAGATAGATATATGTTCATTTGGCCAGCCGGCCATCCCACGAACATTCCTTTCCAAAAAAAAAAAAAAAAAAAGCAGTGGAGCCGTAAAGAAGCCGCAAGCAGAAATCAAAGTCGTGCATTGTTGCTGTCGCTTACCCCTCTTCCCACACACACACACATATACACGTCTTCTCTACCCACTCCCCCGCGTTCGCACAAGCACAAGGCCGATGTAGGCCAATAGTAAATAAACACCCACGCTTCCCGCGGCAGCCCCAATGAAGCGCCAAAAATCCTTTGTATAGAAGCCCTGCATCTCGGCGTACAGTTTTCCATCACGCACGCAAATCACGTCGTCCGGGCTGCAGTTAAACTTCAGTCCGTCAAACTCGTTAATCACCAGTGTTGTGAGGCCGTAGCGCACAAAAGAAATGTACTTGATCCATTTCCAAAACAGCGGGATGGCTTCAACACTCATCAGCACACCGCCCGAGGGCAAAAGATACACCACAACAACGAGCGGTGCCAAAATATTCGCAACCTGTATGTTTTTCGACACGGTCGACACAAGTAGACAGAAGGTGTAGCCGTTCAGCATGATGATGAAGCATATAAGACAGAACAAAAGAAACTTGTCAACGCGGGGTTGAAGTCCGACCATAAAATAAGCAATGGTGTCGAAAACAAAGTTCGACACCATTTTAATGGGTAAATCCTGCACAATCTTCCCAATGAAGAACGCCACGGGGCGGTACATCCCGTTGCGGTGCTCCCGGAGCAGCAGAGGACGGTCCTCCATGAGCAAATTGAGGACACTTACGCTGTGGAGGGAGGTGTTCATCACGATAAAAAACAAAACACCCATGCGGTTCCGAATCGACGGCTGGTCAAGCCCCAGACGAAAATAAACGCTGCCGGTAAGAAGAGCAAAGAATATCGACGCGGCAAACGTGACAATAACGGCCATGGGATCACGGATTTTGTTGATAACCCCTCGCATAGACACCACACGGATCTGAGTCCACACGCTGCGGAAATATGGCGAGACATCCTTTGCCATCGATGTTTCTGAGCCTATTTGCATGAATGTGTCATCGATGGCGTCAATTTCCCGTTCGATCCCCTCAAGCAGCCTGTCTCGGAACGCCGCCGCGATGTTGGGGGCGCTCTGCCCGCATGCGACGTGGCATAGCCGCGCCTCATCCCCACATGCCAGCAGCTCTTCCTCTGGCGGCACCGAGATGCTGTCAAGTAGAAAATCTGCCGGGTTTTCGGGTGCCGACGGTACAACGCCAATTTGGGCAAAAAACGACATGGCTTCACCCGCAGGTCCAAAGTAAACCTCTTCGCCGTAGCCATTCAACAATAACAGCCGGTCAAAAAGGGCAAAACAGCTGCTGCGTGGCTGGTGGATGGAAAAAACGACGGCGGTACCGAGCGATGTGAGTTCCTTGAAGATTTTCATCAGATGCAGCGCGGTGAACGCATCGAGGCCGGTGGTTGGCTCGTCGAGAAAAATCAAAGAGGGGGAAGCCACCAACTCAATGGCGATGGCGCACCGTTTCTTTTCGCCCCCGCTGATCCCGCGCACCAAATCCGAGCCAATTTTCTTGTTCTGAATCCCATCAATACCAAGCTGACGCATGACTTCCTCTACGCGGGCACGGACCTCCCGCCTCTTGAAAGAAGGGGGCGTGCGCAGCTGCGCCGCATAAGATATGGTTTCCCGCACCGTTAGAAAACACTGCATGACGTCCACCTGCTGCACATACGCAGTGATGCGACGAAAGGCGGCGTCTTTGATGGCTCTGCCGTTGAGCAAAACCTCCCCGCCCACCTCACCGCTAACCGTGCGCTTCGCGAGGATGTCTAGCAGGGTGGACTTACCAGCACCCGACGGCCCCAAAATGGCCAGCATCTCGCCACTCCGCACGTAGCCAGAGATGCCGCATAGAATTTCACTCCTCCCACTGCACTTTGGCAACGTGTATGTGATGTCCTTGAATGTCAGCGCCAGTTTCGACGTACTCTCCTTCTGCCTCCCAAGGAACTGAACACTGGACATGCCCCTTCCCAGCAAGGGTTCTTCGGATTGTACTGGCGACGGCTGCCGAAGGCCTTCGCTTTCACACACACCCTGAATTGGCATCTCTTGTTCACTGTACGCCAATAAAAAAGCTGGAAAACCCCCCAAAAGAAAGAGAAAAAGAAAGAAAGTCAGTAAACAGCGAGGCAATGACATATCCCTCCTCTAATGAGCAAAGTGGCTCATGTACAAACGCCTACACACGCACACGCAGAAAATTACCCCACACAAATCCCCACCTAAAAAAAAAAAAAAAAAAAGGATAGATGGCAAAAGTCACGCCTCAGCAACAACAGCGTAGGCGCTCAACCTCTGTATAATCATTGCAGCGTCTAGAAGCTGCTGTATCACGTCAGAAAAAGACTGACCAGTCATCGCCTCTCCGCCAAGCTGTTGGAAAAAGGCCCTGGTGCTCGCCTCAGACACCGAATCAGCGCCGCTTTCACGCTGCTCGTGCGCCATCATCCGCAGCAGCGCCACGCACGCGGCCTTCTTACTGATCTTCCTCTTTTTACCACTCCTTACGGCAGAAAAATCGGCACCGCAAGGAATGGCTTGTTTTTTAATGCGCTCTCTTGCAGTGGCCACAGCGGCCGTGTCCAAAGCCCACAGATGGTGCGTGTAGCATTGCCAAACCTCCTCCGCAAGCAACTCGCTCCAACCAGTGGCCCTCTCGCCGTGACAGCATCCGTGCTCAAGGACCAGCCGTGCCAAGTTTAACTCCCACAATACCGACAGCACCAACGCCAGCGGTGGAGTGCTGTTTGTGACGGTCGTCGTACCAAGGGCTTTGGTACCATGCCAGTGCTCACGCAGGCGACTCAGATAAAAACTTGTAAAGGCCTCAGCAGGAATCATCCTTTCCAAAACGGACGCTGGTGGCGCCTCCTCCACAGCAGCACGCAGAAGTTCCTCGCAAAGTGGGCCAGCACAAAAAACACCGGAGTCCAATCGTCCCGGACTTGACTCACAGAGCGATGCGGAGCGGGAAGGAGTTCTGGACAATGACTGCGAGCTTGCGACAGAGGCGGCAATAACCCCCTCACCAATAGAAGCGGCATTGTGGAGGGAGAGTTGAGCAGTGGTGCGTGCCACCACGGAGAATTTTGGGATAAGGGCGGCGGCTGCAAGAAGGTCGTCGTTTGCGGCAGCCGTGACCTGTACATGAGTGGGTATCACATGACTGCGAATCATCGTCGCCGACACTCCGCCGCCACCGCCACCACTGAAGATGGGGCACACACCCGTTATAAATCCCTCCACAAGATTCGCACAACCGCGGCTGGAAACCTCATCAACGACAAGGGCGTCAAATGTCGACACCGCACCACCCAAGAGAAGCTGCTGACGCACATGCGGGTACGTCGCGGTGATGGCCTGAGATATGGCCGCAGAACGTTGCTGTCCGTGGACAACGTGTGCCCCGACCAATGTGGCGTGTGGGCCAAGAAGGTGCAAAAACGCACGTAACAAGGCGGACTTGCCGGACCTTGGGGCTCCCAAAAGCAAAGCATGAAGAGGCCGCCGCGCGCGGCACCTTACAGCTCGATACATTGTGTGCACCACCACAAGTAAGAGCAGTGACTTGCACAATTTCTGTCCCGCCATCTCTGGCGAAAACGACTCGACAAGTTGTTCAAAAGAAAATTGTCCAGGCATTGAAGGGTACGAAGCAAAATTGTCTCTTCGGATGCTGCGTGACCACGCCAATGACCCCACGCTGTCATCTGCAGCAGTGATTTCGGAGACATTGTGAATAACATAGGCCATTTCCTGATTCTCCGTGCGACTCGGGTACAATAGAGCGCAGAAAACGGTCCCAACACGGAGCCGTAATCCAACGCCACCGTACGCCCACGCAGAAAGGTGCCTTCCAGATGCAAGCTGTATGACAACATGTGTACGGGTGCAATACATCGGTCTCAGTGAAGAAGATGCGGCAGGAGTTGTTTCCGGCCCTGCCAAAGACACACTCCAACCCAGCTGAATGATATCTGTGGTGCTCGGTACAAGTCGAAGCGCGACAATGCGTGCAACGAGCCGTTGAAGTCCGTTCCCCGCTTCAGCCCCACCAGCATCTTCTTGTGACACGCATGGGAAGGGCAGAGATGCGCGTGCGTCAAGTAGGAAGGATGCGTCACTGTAGACACCACCACGTGAGCTGTTGGCCAAACAGCGCAGCAAGTACAAAGCTTCCGGCTCATCCTGCAGTCTCCAGACACATTGCTCCCACATGGCGTGCAAAGAGTTGGGAGGCGGCGGGGCACTCTGCATAAAGTCCAGAAGGTCGGCATACCGTACCTCGCCACCGTCATCGCAGCCAGTGTCGTTCTTGTGAAGACACTCCACAGCGTGCTGCACCCACAGAGTCGCAGCCTCATCATTCGCGGTGGATGTCATGTTACAAATTGTCTGTGCAAATAACAAAATATATATATTATATATATATATATAATATATATATATATATATATATAAAGAAAGAAAAGAAGCACGTCAAACCATCAACCGATTCGGCACTGCCAATAATTTCCATGTGTGCATGAAAGAGAAAGAGACACACATTGGAAGTAGGAAAAAGAGAATCAAAAAACCGACGTCAGCGCCTCGACAAAGCCTGCTCCACCGCCTCCCGGGCCTCCTCCCAGCCAAACCACAAGGTGTCAAACACGTCCTGGAGGTCATCTGCATCGACAAGAACACATGCGAAGAGACGAATGGCCTCTATCTTGCTATCATTAAAAAACAACCGTTCTGTTATCTTTGCTACCTGCAGCGCTGTCACGCCCACGACGGCGCTATAGGCATCGACCGTCGCAATGCTCTCATCCTTTTCACGTTCCCCCACGGTATCATCGGGAATGGCGTCCGCAAAGGATGACTGGATATCGGCATCAACCTCGCCTGTGAGAAGAAGCCTCTTGAACATGCGCATAATGTCGCGGTCATCCTGAAGAAGTGCCATTTGGTCCAACAGCACCTGCAACTCGTCATCGCGGATACAGCGAAGGCGTTGCGCATTACTGTCAATGCATTCACGCATCCGAAGCCGCTTCTCTTGCAGGGATCGCTTGTCATAAGCCATCTTGATGGGCTCTGGGAGCATCGCACGGTGCTCCACAACGGCCTTCGCAGCGGCCTCCCCGCTCAACGCGTCAATTTGCGTCGAGAAGCCAAGAAATTCGAAAAGAATCTGATTGATATACACCGTAAAATGCGTCCGCTCCCCTCTGACTGTCGGGCGTGAAAGTTCAAAGTTCGCTAAAAGTCCCCGTGGCTCCCAGGAGTCCACGTTCATCACGACATTCTGCAAGAACTGATTAAGACCCAACTTTCGCGCCTCACCCATCTCCACGGTGAGCTTGCGCCACGCAGGCACTCGGCTTTGGGGAAGCAATGGGACCGTAGCGGGCCCGTAAACCTGTACAAGTTTATTGCGTAGATCGTGAAACTGCCTATAACGTTTTGATACTACCCAGTGATGGCCGCAAATAGATACGTGGAGGAAGTACTCAATGTGATCCCTCTCAAGAATACTAAAGTCCTTCACAGTGAGCACCAACTCTGACGTGATGGTGGAGGCCGCAGCAGCCAAGACCAATTCCCTGGAGTCTTCGCAAGGACTCCTCCTCCTGATCGAATGCAGCTTGACCTCCACGGTGGGCAAAGAAGCGGAGGGCAAAGACGACGCTGGAGGCAGCTCTGAGGCCATGGATACTGATGATACTGATGTGGGCGGGGTAGCGTCCTTAATAGCCACCTGACTGGGCGTGGAGGAGGCCCGCGTTGCGCCAGTGAGCGGAACGAACACGGAAGAAGAAAAGGGCGTCACCACCGCAATATTTTCTCTGGCCTCAGTATTTCTTTTCGCTGGTCCCGCTTGTGGAGGTGTTTCGAAGCGGGTGTCCGTTTCATTGGCATCAGCCACCACACCCGGCGGCGGCGGCGGCGGAGACGGCTTTTGCGGTGTGTTGTTTGTCGTGTGTTCCAGCAACTCCAGAAAGGCACCCAAAAACTTGTTGACGTGGACGCGCCGCGTTCCGCCGTCAGGGTCCGGCAGTGTCAAATTGTACAGGCGGGGAGACCAAAAAGGCGCGGCCGCAAGCATCTCATTGAGGTACATCTCCAGTTTTTGAAGCCGCACCGCTGCCGTTGCGGCGTTTTTGCCTGCCCACGGCCGCGCCATCCCGGCCAATTGCGGCAGGTGGACGGCGGTGTAGTGTTTCTCGAGCAGCGAGTGCAGTTCCGCGAAGTTGTCGTAGGACTTGCTCACCACCCACGCCATGTCCCGACCGAAGCGGACCTGAAATTTGTAGAGCATCGTGCCCTCGTGCAGCAGGTAGTCAATGGCGGACACTTCCACCTGCGCCATGCCACCCGCCCCGCCCCCTCCTCCGAGGCAAATGGAAGTCGAAGAAGAGGAACACTTAACAGAAAAAAAAAAAAGGATAAAGAAAAAAAATAAACCGGCGATCAAACGTCGCCTCACCCCTTCCCCGAATAAGAGGGAGAAAGAGAGGGATGAAGAGACCAGCTAATCCAAACAGGGAGTGAAAGAGGAACAAATTTTCAAAAAGCATCCAACGACATCATGCGCACCCACTCGGACTTGACGATGCGGTACCGCCCCAATCACCCCTGTGCATCTCCAGCGCGTCGCGGTATGCCCGCATGTACACCGCCCCGTAAATTTCCCCAGCAATCTCGGCAACAGCCTGTCGGTACGCATCATTGCGCAGGCCTTTTACCCGCCGAGCGTAGTCGCGTGAAGCGATATCCAAATCCGCGTCGGGCGGTGAGGCGCCAAACTCCTCCATTACTCCCCGTCCTTTTTTTTTTTATCTTGTTTCCCCTCCTTTTCTTTCCTTCGGCTCCTCCGGCAGAGCCTCTGCTCCCACACACAAGGAAAAAAATAGAGAGCAAGAAAGAAAGCGAGGCAAAACGGCATATGAAGAAGCAAGAAAAAATTGACAAAGTGGGGCCACCCTCCCGCCCACACCACCGACAGCGGCGGCTGCAGGAATTGCGAATGGACTCCATGCATAATCATCATCATACGGCGCCGCAGGAACGGAAGACACGACCAAAAGAAGGCAAACAAACTCACTCACACACAAACACACACACTTTCTCTCTCGTCTGGTCCTTCTTCCTACGTCCGTTTCCCCCTTCCACACCCAACCCGCCAATCTCAAAAACAGACTCCTGTGCAATCACTTCCCCACGGCCGACTGACCACCAAATCGCGAGGAACGGGCGTTGGCGCGGGAACCGACAGAGTTGAAGAACGTTTTCGGACCACTTGTCGTCTGCGGGCTGCGCAGTCGTGTCTTCTCCCTGAACACGTTGACACGAACAGAGTTGTGGTTCGGCAAGTTTCCGTCGTAATTTAACCAATTCAGCACGTGGCGGGTGCGTTGTCGCATAATCGGCTCCACCTCTGCCGGATCAAAGTCCCATCTCACCAAATGGCTGCAACGCTCATCCGGCGTGTCGCCAAACCACTGGTAGTTGACGCGCACGTACTGATTTTGCAGCGGCCGCTCGTTAAGCATGCGCGTCACCTCCTTTGGGTTCGCCACGGCAGCGGCGAGCGCCTCGCATGTTTTCACTACTTCACGAAGCAACTGAGTGACGCCCGCGTCAATGGGCGTATCCTCTGCTGCTGGATGGACCGGCAGGATGCGTTGGCCGCCATCGAGGGCGTGCACCACCACCCACGGTGTTTCGTTGTACTCTAGCAGCATCTCCGTCTCCACATACACCTGCGAGTTGTGGAATGTGATGGGGATGAGGAACTCACGCGCAAATCTCTTTGCCGTTTCCGCTGCCAATTTCCCCAGTGGGGTGCTCTGCCGCTGACCGTAGTAAACGTAGATGGACTTGGTGAAGGGGTGCACCTTCACAACCCTCTCCAGCAGGACCGCGTAGGGCCAAACGATTTCTGCCGCCTCGTTGCCAAACTGCTGTTTCGGTTTTGGCAGCCCTTTGAACGCCTCGAGCTCGTCCCATCCCTCCCGCATTTGCAAGTCCCACCGCTTGATGAAGCGGTAGCGTTCCGCCTCCTTCTCGGTCGTCTGCCGTTTGCCGGGGCCGCGATGCATGCCACGGGGCCGCCTGCTAGTAGATGTCGGCACATCCTGCAGCTGCTCCAGCCCGAGGAGCCCACGCGTTGTCGTTATGGCGCGAACGAAGGAATTACACGCAATAGACACTAAACAATACTGCCAACGACGCATAACGAGCAATCTTCGTGTGTTTCCGAGTTGTATGCAAAAGTAAAGAATAGAAAGAAGAATAAAAAAGGGAAAAGAAAAGAGGAAGACGTCGCACTCATAAATCTCAAAAACACATCCCCATCACTGCCACAGGGCACACAACACGCTTGCAGAAAAAAGACAGCGGGAACAAAAAGGACGCCTCACCGGGACCATTTCACAATCACCGTGTGCGTAATGTTGCCATGCGTTGATGTCTGCTCTGGTTCAAGACCCGCGGACAGCCGTCACGGTCCTTCTCCAGTGCGACGCAGTAATGGCAATAGTACGCCACTTCTGTCGTTTTCCCGGAGTTGCACATGATACAACGCTCCTCGCCTTCCTTTCCAAAGCCGCAATCGTCGCATACGTGCACCTCCCGCATGGACGGGAGCACCTCATCAAACTGCAGGTCACAAATCACGCAGCGGCCATCGTGCTGGTCGCAAACATAGCCAAAGGAGGCCCCGGGCATTTTGCGGCACATCTGTTGCTCCTGTTTCGAATGCCTCAACATTAATGTGGCGGCTCAATATCACACAAAGCCTAAGACCCTGTTCGCATGTAAATACGACATGTACACAAAAATTGTGAGGGGAAAAACAAAGTAAAAAAAAAAAAAAAAAAAGAAGCAAAAATAAAAATAAAAAAGCCGCAACGCACGTAGCCCGCCGCCGAGTACAAAAGTCAAAAATATTGGATCACCATCATTTACTTAAAAAAAAAAAAAAACGTGTGGCGGCATGCAAAGGCATAACCCAACACTTTTCAAAAAACCTAATATATATAATGCGCATATATGTCCCTCCCCATAAAATGTTCTTTTCTGATTGGCAAACGCAGAAACCGTAAAAAAAAAAAAAAAAAAAAGGGTCTGCAGAAAAAAAAAAAAAGGGAAAAGGGTTCCTGAAGTCCTTATCCAACACTCCCACGTTCGGTTTCCTCCAGTTTCACCCTCTTGTGCGGCACGGTGTCCATTGCTGTACCATCCTCGTCATCGTCCCCGCTGTCCTCAACGACCGTGGCAGACGCCTTTGCCTTTTCCTCTGCGGCAGCTACCCTTCGTTTCCGCTTGGAATTTCTTCCCGTGACCCACACTATGGGATTGTCGGCAAACTCATCCAACTCTGTCGCTGCCGAGGGCGGCCCCGCACATGGAGCAATCGCCTCGACAAACTGAACCTTCCCATGCGGCTGTGGTGGTGTTGATGGCGGCCGTTCCGGCTTCTCCGATACTGTCGATCGCCCACCGGTTGCCCGCGCGCTGCTATTGCTAACACTGTAAAGCGGCATCGTCTCCAGTGTCGGGTTGGTGGAACGCAACAGCGGGCGCATCGAGCCGTGAAACGTTGAGGGTCGTGAAACGTATTCAATTTCAAATGTCGTCTGTACCCCGATATCCTGCATGTTCTGTATCCGTCTTCCCCTTCCATGGCGGTGGTCCATTGCTAAGTCAATGGACGTTACCATGTAATCCCGCATGGGGTCTGTGGGCTGGCGGCAGGTCGGGCATTGATCAGACCGCATCAGCCACCGATACAGACAGCGGCTGTGGAAGATGTGTCCGCAATGCAGCTTGCGCGCCCTTTCACGTGGTTTAATGGGCTCCAGGCAGATAACGCAATATCCCGAGAGGCTCACTTCCGGGAAAGACCGCAGGAGATTGTTAGAGCGGTGCAATATAAGCACCTCATTCATCATAAAGCAGAAATGCGTAACCACTGCCAGCTTCATGAACGTCGTGGCCCCATCCGAGCAGTAATTAAGTGCCGCTAAGAAAGAGGCGGCTGAACCCACGCATCGCACAAAAAGGCCTGTCTTTTCAATCGGGTCAAAACCACCCTGACGCCTCCCCAGTGCTGTCACCGAGTACAGGAAATGTAGTCCAATAAATATGAGGGCCTGAAGAATTTGAATCGACAGCGTCGCCGACCAGAGAATGAGCGTGTAGTATACCGTCTCATTTGCGGGGTCGCGCGGCCGCGGGCTTGTGGCAAAAAACGACCACTGAAGCGCCGCGGAAAGGAGCGCGAGGCATCCCGAGACAAGAGTAAAGGCACGGAAGCGCCAGCACTCCCGGTCTGGCCACGCTGCGGTCTGCCACTCCACCCGCGACGACCAGCACATGATGACAAGAACGAGAAGAAACGCGTCGCACCACGCGGTAGTCGCCTTCGTTCCGGCTAAACAGCCGAGAACAACAAGTGCGGGCACCGGCCATAAAAGACGGGCATCCATCGCGTTGTCAAGAGAATTGGATGCCAATTCGCCCGTGCCCTGCACGTTGACACCAGAGACCCACTCAATTACACGAAATACGCGCCTCACAACATATTTTACGGCGCCAATCATAAGATTCCACAGAAGTGTTACTGAGAGGTCCGAGTAAACCCTAAAAAGGTTCCAGTAGACAAGGAGCATCAGCCCCAGCCACACCACGGATCCATCTATATACAGCGTGGCCATTATTTCTTTCCGAAACGGAACCTGCGAGAGAAAAAGGCATGGAGGAAGGAAGAAACAGACACGGAGAAAAATAAAATGGAGCAAAAAAAAAAAATAAAGAATGAAATCGAACAAATAAGGCGCCGTCCTAACACGCCGGAAAGACACGGAAAGAAAAAGAGAGAGACTGGATGCTGAAGCAGAAGAAAAAAAAAGAAAAATCGGCGGAGACCCACCAATCAACTACTGACACACGCATACTCCACAGAAAAATAAATAAAAGAGAAATGCCTAACAAAATATTACGCAGTACCGCCAAAAACGCATCACTTTTTCTGAAATTCCGCTTGCAGTGCAAGAAGAGCAGACTGCTGTTGCTCCAACATCCGACGAGTCATCTCCATCTGTGCCTGTATCTGTTGCATAAGCCGCAGCTTATCGGCGTCGCTTCGTGCGTCGCCGACGCGTTGCTCGCTGGAAGTTCCAAAAGAATTTGCTTGGGACGCAAGCTCCCCTGCCGCTGTAGAGGTCCCTTGGAAGCTGCCTAGAAAATCAGGGGTCGACTGCTGCGCTGCGCTAATAAAATTCCCACCAGACGGAGGAAAGTTCTGCGAAATAAACGACAAAGTGCTCTGCTCCTGCTGCTGTTTTTCTACTTGTTTATGATTCTGGTCAAGCAATTGCGGTAAAGACGGTTTGGGCGTGAAGGTGCCGTTACCGGTAGGCGTCGCTGTGGGCGGAAGCGGCGCGGACTGAAGACGTGGCGCGGGGCCAAATATATCCTCAATAACCGCATCGGCAGATATGTCTTGCAACGAAGGAACGTGAGAGGAAGAGGTTGCCGCCGGTTTCTTCTGCACCGACACACCAGAAAATAGATCGTCCAGTTGCGAGACGGTGGGCTGCTGTGGGGCAATAACGTGTCGTGGGGGCACTGTTGGTGCGGGTGCAGATGACAACAACGGTGCCTGCAATGCCTGCGTAATGCGACGCGCAGTGCTTTGAGCCGCCTCCGCCTTGACAGGGTTTTCTACGCTATTCATGGTCAAATGACGACAAATGCCCACGTTGTTCTCTCGATAATAATCCTGCGCCTCCTTCACGCCACTGCTGACAAGCGCCTCCACCACAAGGAGAACCTTGTACCTGTTCTGCAGCGTCTGTCGAGCACCCTGCAGGTGCTGATCGAGTGCGGCGCACACCTCCGTCACCCTTTCGGTGGCAATAGCCGCGGACACAAAGGAATCCAGCTCTGTCTGCGCAAACCTCTTCTTCGGACTCGCGACGACCTGCTCGGCAAGTTTTTCAGGCGACAGACTGCCGTCAAAGGTGCCGTAGATACGCCCCCTCACAATGACAGCCGATTGCCTTTTTTCCTCCTCGCACTGTCTTCGGTACATCCGCCGCTCCTTCTCATGCATTGTCTGAAACTCGCTTTTGTATGACTGCGGCGACGTGTACTCTTCCTCCCTCGCCCCGCTCATCTGCACTGTTGGAAACGACACGAGGGCATCGCTGTTCCCGTCCATCGCCTCGAGAAAGGCACGGGCAAGATCCCTGTTGGACGCCTCCAGCGTGCCCCTGCCCACATCCTGAAGGTTCGCAATGCGAGACAGACTGCCTCTCACCCTCGCCATTCGAATGCGGATGCCGTTGGCGCCCTCGACGAACAGCACGCGGAAGATGGAGAGGGCTTTGCTCAAAACGATAGACGAGCTCTCGTCGAGACTCGGCGCAAGGGCCTTCATAATCATCTCGCAGGCGTGGTCCGACTGAAAACTCGCCTCCCGCACCTCCTCCATCTGGTAAAACGGCACAGAACGCTTGTCAGTGTTCATGGCCGAGTGCACAAGGCGTGTGTACGGATTTACGCTGTCCCGCACGTACCCCAGCACGGAACTTATCTTCTCGTTGATGTTCATCTCTCCAACTGACTCAGAGCACGCGCGGAGAAGCACCTCCGTCCTACCCACTCCTGTTTTATCCCCTTCTTCCTCTCGCTAAAGTCAGCCACGAACTGACAATCCGGCGGCGTGAAAGCTCCAGTAAAAAAAAAAAAAAAAAAAAATTTTGTTAATAGTAACAAAAAACGCAGGCACAAGAACATCACACGCAACCCCTAAGATACAGGAGACCTTTCCCACCTCAAATAATAACTTAAAAATAATAATAATAATAATAATGACAAAATGACGGCTTGCCCACCCTTCAGTCCATGCCGGTTTTTTGTAAGCAGGCGGTGGGGAGGGTCTTGCTTGTTCAAACGGCCACGCTCCCCTCAATGTGCCCCAAAAAACACCGCGCTGTCTCCGTGTCATGCATACACAGCAATTGAAGTGGGGCAACAAATGACTCCGACGGAACCTGAAATCCCACGAATTCGGCCTCGCTGCAAGCAGGTAAAGCACGTGTGATTGAAGCCTCCGGCTTCTCAGCCCCCTCCTCTCGATGCCTTTGAAGAAATAAATCCTCAGACTCAGAATGAGCCCCGGGCAAGCCCCCGCGCGAAGCACGCGGACACAGTTCATGTGACACACCGTGCCTTTTGAGTGGATCGTTCAAGAAACACGGCCCGAGAAAAGCAAAGGACGGGGGCGAGGCAATCAAGTTCCCCGTGGCAGGGCACGCCGCGCCCGCAGTATGGCACAGTGAAAGCGTCAAAACGGCGGCGTTTTTCAACCACACATCATGCCCCACCGTTTGCGGAGTTATGGCCTCCTTTAAAGCCGCCAGGCGGGACAAGTAAGAGTCCCGCGGGAGCACGTGAGCATCAAGAAACTCAAGCAACATGAACCGTACCGACGGCAGTGGCTCCTTCAGCCCCTCAGCCACCCTCGCCAGCAAAAAGGACGACGGGGCCACCTCGTACACACGTACAGCGAGTTTAAAAAAAGCCAGATTCGTGTCTTCGCTCCCACACATTATTTGCATGGCGTCCGGCGACAAAAAGGCATTCATGAAACTCTCCTTCTCCGCGGCGGTGAGCAGGGGAAAGAGCTCCACAAGCAGGTAGTACAGAGCAACACGCACCGGAGCACTAAGAGTGAAAAGGTGGCCGGAGAAAATATCGTGCAGCGTCGCATACGCCTCTGCAGCCCGTGAAAGAGTGCATTTAATCACGTGAAGGGCAGCCAGCTGCTCCGTCGCATCACGACTCATAAAGTTCGCAAGAAGTGTAGAGAGTGGAATGTCTTCGACGACACCAGAGTCATGCTGCACAATTGCACACAACACCCTCAGCGCCACCCCGGGACTGCGGGACCAGAGACATAGCAACGCACTTCTCACCGTGTCTCGCAGCAGCAAAACGTCCGTCTCAGCAAATTCTCTCAATCCGCGCAGCTCCTTTCCAACCACATCTGCAACCACAAGCAATTCTTCCACTTCAACTTTGGCGATATTTTTGTTCCTGTTGAAGCACGACACCAGCGAGTGATACAGGTCCACCAGGGATGCTGGTGCCACAGAAGACAACAACACCCCATTGTCAATAAGGAGGCCGCACATTCGAATGCCAAAACTGAATTCTAGCAATTGCCCTCGAAGCACATGCAGAAGGTCCCTGTCGCACACAGGGGATAACGGCTTTAAGAGAGAAACTAGACGACGTACGAGGTCCAAGTTGTGTTGCATCACATCCTCACTGGGATGTGATGCGCCGCGGAAAAGAAACACCATCAACTTGCGTGCTGCCTCGGTCGTGAAGTTCATAGCCCCCGTCTCGCCCCAATGGAACAGCAGTTCCAACAGGTCACGGGCCACGTAATGAACCCCACCTTCCCCCATTTCCTCCTCGCATACAAGTGACACCAACGAGTCACGGAGTGCATTGGCAGCTGGCGTGAAGGACGAAGCTCGCATCTGAATGAGGCGAGCCAACACCAACCTCACATTGACGTGTATGGCTGTGGATGAGAAGAGGCCAATGATCTCCTTTACCCATCCGTCAGCGGGGTTCACAGCAAACCTAGACAAGAGAAAATCCGTGACGCGGAGGAGTGCACCAAAGCAAGTACTAATCCATACACCGTCCAATTTCACTCTGGGAGCCCCATTCTCCTTCTCCTCCCTCTTTCGATTGTGAGGTTTATCGTCACCCTCGTCATGCATGACAAGGGCATGACTAAGCCATGGCAAGTTCGCGGTAAGAAAAGTGTGATCAACCGCATTTTCAACGGCATAAACGCATTGCATTTCACCCTCTGTTCCTTGTCTCAAGATCCCTGTGTTGCTCTCGGCAAGTCTCTGAAATGTCGCGACACATTTACGCACCTCCCAGTCACTGCACTCTTTCGCCGTACACTCCGTCATATGTGGGAAATTCGTTTCCACGTAAAAAAAATGTTTGAAGGATGTATCCACAATTTGGTTCCATACCCCACCGCCTGGAGAGTTGAGCAGAAGCCGCGTAAACACCTTCTCTTGCTCCTGCGTAGCAACGAGAACGGCCACGAGGCAGCGATGAGCCGACTGCCGGTAATTGAGAGCATCATGAAACGCCTCAGGAGAAAAAGTAGCGGGAGGCACAAAAACACGCGCCGCACAGCATGCTTTAATGAGCGCAATGATGAGCTCTTTGCCGCTGCTACCATCTTTCTTCCCTGTGAAAGCGGCATTTATAGGGCCTCGAAGAACTGATGCTGCCGTCATATCAAACACAGCCTCCAGCATGATCAGTGCCCGTGTTTTTCTTTGCAGCGTTGCCGCCCCAGATGGTGGTGCGCTCGCCTCCTCCACGAGTCCCACAACATGCTGCAGAAAGAATTTGTCACGCACCGCCGGCAGCAGACGGCGTAGACTTGGCAGGAGAAGACGATGCGTCAGACCCCACCACACCGCCCATGGAAGACCGCATTGCTGCTGCAACTCCCGGGACTTGTGGCACAACTCCACGAGAGCCTCCGACGGGAGCTTCTGCAAAACCGATGAGACCGCCGTGACAAGTGCGGTGTACTGCGGCATGTCGGTTTGATGAAGCAGTGGAACCAAAGAAAGCAACAGAGCCGAATCCAACGCAGCGGTGCATCTGACTATGCGGATAAGGGCTCTTACCACAAACGCGTAGTGAATGCCGTTTATACTTCCGTCATCCACTTCTCTCCAGTCAAGCGGCAACTCGTCGTTAATAGCACGACGCATCAGCTGCTCTACGAGTGTAGCATATGGCTGCGTTGGCCGCTCATTCCCCGCGCTGGCGGCAGCGACCGCATCGCAAAGGACATCTACGCCTTGAACAAACAGATGCACCGCCACGCGACTCGTGAGCAATGCGTGTGGACGCATGGTCCAACGCTCGCCGTCCACCGCCGCGCTGATATCAACAAGAATGTCATATTCGTGGCACGCAAGAAAATGGTTGCCACCCACTCGCAAGCAGCAACGATGCACTTCAAGAAAGAATGCCAACACTGCCGGAGAGCCTCCACGCCCAATATGCATAAGAGCATCAACACCCCTCTTCATTGCCAGCGCCCACGTCTCTGCTGCCGGCTTGGGCCCTTGGTGGACGTCATGCAACAAACCGCGGAGGGCCACAAAGGGGGCACTCTGAAGTGATGACTCGCCACTTCGTTGCAAAAGTTCCCCGCACACCTGGAAAAGTTCTGTCAAGAGATACCGGAGCGTCGCGCCGTTCTTGCCAGCGTCCCGCCAGTCCCCACGCAATATGGCTGCGAGAAAAACAGGGGATGTCTTCCTATCGACAAATCTCTCCTCGTCCCGCTGAACTGCACTGAGGACCTCACGCAGCCCAAATCCCTTTGGCACATTGGTAACATTCTCACCACCCTTTCTCGCCTTGGCATCGTCAAGAGACGGTGGTGGTAGTGGTGACAGCAGTAGAAGTAGCAGCATGTGGCAGAAAATGGTGCCCCATTGACTGTTGACAACGCACTCATCACGCACGGCCTCCAAAAGACCCTCTAGAAGACGCCGCTGGATGACATGCGATAACGACGGCAACAGAAGCACCTCCGCCCACAGCCCCAAATCCACAAGAACGGCAAGACAACGCAGAGTGTGCACTGCCGTATGTGGATCCGACAGAAAAAACTCCAACAAATTTGGCTGCGGCGTTAGCCAAAGCGTCGCTGGAACATGTTCGCGAAGGCAGTCAACCAATTCGCGGAAACGGCCCTCATCAGACCGCAATGACACAGAAAGTGCTGCAACAAGTTCCCGTCCACAGAGTCGTTGCACCTCGTAATAGGGCCCTGGTGTTATGCCAAGCGATGTGGGCGCAAGCAGCAGACGCGCCGCAAATTGCGGCAGTGACCGATTCAACAACAACAACTTGCTTGCCACTGTGCCCACTTCGCCGCTTAGCACTCGCACCAGATGCCGCGCAATGAAAAGAACACGAGCAGAGATGCACACACTGTCACTGCAGCCGGCAGCACTCTCGGCGACATAACGATCCAGTTCCTCAAGCACACGACGGAAGTACGTTGACTCCTCATCCAACGAGGCGTCCTCTGTTCGCGCCCGCTTCAGCGTGGACGGAAACAGTGCATTTGACATGAGCATATAATGCATCTGAAGGCCGCATTCGAGACGCCGCCCGGGAATTGTTTCCCGTAAATCGAAATCACGCAGGACAGAGAGATGTGTCAACAGCCATCGTCGCGGCCCAACGTCGCCCTCCGTGTAGCCCGGCATGCAGCGACAGATGGCAGCAAACAACCGCAGCAATGCGGCCCCACTGGTGGAGTGACGACCCTCGCGGTATGCGTGCAGTAGAATATCACGAAGAACTGCCTCGTTTTCCTCCGCAACATTTCGGTCCTGCCACATGTCCACAAGCAGCTCGTAATTAGTCACAACATATACCTCAAGACGCCTGACGCAACGACACAAATTCCCCGCAAGGCTTACTGCGGCCCTCCCTCCTCCATCTCCTTCTCTTTCATCCCCCCCATCCCACTCATTCATGCGCATGGAAGCCAGAGCTGCCAACAGCGCTCGAGTAAATGGAACAACAAATGGCAAAGCCGCCCGCTCGCAACGCAGCAAATGCAAGAGACGATCCAGCACGCCAGCAGCCCCAAGGCGCTGCCAAGCAGAAGGTCCTCGGAGTGTCAGACAAACCCAAAGTAGGACACTTTTCAATTGGCTTTCTTGTGCGCCATCCTCTTGCAGGAGCTGCAGCCGCAATTCGTATTTTAGACTCCATTGAACGTACTCTGCAAGCGCCTCAATAGAGACACGCCGTATCGACGCATTATGCGGTACCGCAGTGCCCCGAAAGATGGCGTTCTCCATCACTTTTGCTCCACGACCACCGCGCAGGGCAAAACACCGGGCACACTGATGCAACAGAGCTCCAAACATCACCTGGATGCCCGAGCCGGCTGCTGATGCTCCGGCTAGCACGATAACGGTGTCAAAAAGCTCACCGTACAAGTCATCTACGTTATGCTCTATACACCAGCCCACCGCGGCGCGCAGTAGTTCGCAGGCTGCAAGGCGCAACTGACAATCCTTTTCCTGAAATGAAAGCATCGTGGCACGTGGAAGGAGCGAGCCCAACGGCAAAAACAGCGTCGTACTTCCCATTGGCAGCGGAATTTGCGCGCCGTCCATGTGCCGGCGCAGGCACGGCAACGCCGGAGTGGTGCCATGGCGGCACTCCAACACCTCGTCTTTAACGCCACGCCGCACACCGTCTCCCAGCTGGGCGCCGTGCCGCACCAGCAGAGAGTGCAGTTGGCCAAACGCAGGATTGAACACGGTGAGCTGGCTCAAAAGAGCGCAGAATGGCGGCATAACGAGCGCACGATCCTTCTCAAGACAACAGTCGAGCACCTCCAGTGCGTCTGCCACGGCTGCCGTGTCGTCTGCGTGACGAATCACGACTTCTATTGGGTACAATAGCTGCGCGGTTTCCAGCAGGCCAAAGTGGTTCATGCTGATCATGCAGAGGGCAGACTGAAGTTGCAGCCCGTCTGTGTAGATCGTTAGACAATGGAGACACGTCCTGCTAAACGAACGCAGAAAAATCCACGCGTGACTCAATGAAAGACCTGCCCGCCATCCCGCTTGTAGTAACTCGTGAAGACATGTGTAGCCGCCAGCGATGTGGGTGTGTCGCGTGGCAAATGACACCAGCGACTCAACAAGAACTGCTGCCACCTCCTCCAAGCCAATCGCCTCACTGAAGGTCGCGTCAAGGGAACCGATAAAAAAAGAAGTAAAGCGGAGAAAGACATTGCGGTCTTCCATGCTGCAAAGCTGCATCTCCCCCAATTCATCAACGACAGGCCAGTGGAAATCCGTATCGCCCCCATCCCTCGCCTCCTCCTCCTCCGTGCTCAGCAGCGAAACATCAAACTGCCGCAACATTTCCAGCTCCGCCGACACCAACTCGCGACGCAGCGCCATCCGCAGTGAATCCAGCATGGCGTCTGAAATGGATAGATTCCATGGTGACCCCCAGTCCAGCACGCTATGACTGTGTGACTGCAACGATTCCCAGAGTAGAATGTAACTTTTCTGCATGGTGACGTCTTCCACCGCGGTGGGTAGGCCCTTTTTAGGATCCCAACGAGAAAAGGGAACACACGCCAGCGCGAGCAACCACCGCGCCACGAGGACGACGCCGAACTCCACCCCGTGGCAATAACGAATAGCCGTAAGAAGTTTCAATAACGCGGATCCAAACGTGGATCGAATATTTTCGCTGCACATCCCCCGTGGATAAAGAAAAAGTGTCGTGTGGAGAGTGAAATTCAGAAGCTGCGGCAGCTCCGATCCCATAGGCGGCAGCTCCAACAACATCGAAGCCAAGGCGCTAAGAAAGTACGGCAACAATCGCACCACGTCTTCAACAGGCCCGCTCGTTAGGGTAAACAGTACCTCACACCTTTTCACCATTTCACGAAAAGTAATTGCAAGATAGTCCACTCCAAAACAGCTTACCAGCGGCCTTGCCATGTATCCAAAAGCCATGATGGCAAATGAGAGGTCTCTATGTCTTCCTTGTTTGTCCCGCATTGTTGCCTCCAAGGCATGAAGCATGTATCGCAGCCGTGGAGCAAGATCATGCCTCTGGTTATCACCGCTCCAAGAGAGCGCCAGTGCCCGAAAAAAACCTGCGGTCGCAGCATGCGTCGCTCGCCGCACCTCAACGTTTCTGTGGCTCCAGAGATGTCTAAGTGCCGTGAAACAATCTTGCATATCATTCATGAAGCATTCTTTCAGAAAATCCGCCCTCTTTCCAAGTAGCGCAAGTGCCGCCTTGCAGAAGCGGTAGTTTTGACAGGTGCCCGCAAGCAATATGGCCTTCTTGATTAGATGGTACATGAGCATAAGAGTGTCGCGATCGGGTCCGTTGAACACGAGCGAAAATCCACCACTGTAGTCAGAAAATGCAAGCAGAAGCCCCTCACCGATCACCTGCTCCACCTCATCACTCGCAAGAAGATGCTGGCCGACACTCACCATCGCATGGAGAATACGCATAGCGTGGGGCGACATCAACGTGGTGTACACCCCGCACATGCAACCAAGGAGCCGCATCGCGTTGCTCCTAAGCCGCAGCCCTGAGGTAATCTTCCTTTCCAGAATTAACACGCAGACTTCCACCACTTTGGCTACATCCAACCGTGCGGGGGAGAGACGCTGGCCGCAGCTTCTCAGCAGAGCACTCACAACGCCCAAGCACTCCGCTTGTACCTCCACGTGTTTGCTCAAACGATGCAACAGCATAAATGTGTGCCACACGGTGCTGTGTATCTCCTCCACCTGCGGAATAGTGACGCTCTCCTGAAAGGACTCAAAAAAAAGATTGAGAAAAGACATCGCCCTTTTTAGCACTCTCGCATCCCGCGCGTCCGTTCCGGAAAACCGCATCTTCTCACAATAATCGTTCAAAACGCGCAGTAGCCCACTCTCTTCATTTGATAGAACACATTCCAGAAGAGGAACTGTCTCATGGGCGGAAAAAAGAGCAATTTTGCTGCTTCTGAGACGTCTCTCCATGTTGTCAAACACATGGCACGCATCACTAGCAGAACCCTGCAAACCCACAAGAAGAAACCTCAGGGCGGCCACATCCGCCCGAAGAGCGAAGGAAATCTCCTCAACTGTCATGAGTCGCACCACGTCTTTTTTTTTTTGTGTGTGTGTGTGTGTCCTCTTCCTTCCACGACCCACCAGCTGCCCTCCTCCGCAGGCATGAATGATTTGTGGTCAATGATTCAGCCGGCATAGGAGTCCGGTGGGAACACCAAACCGCAAAAGCAAGAAAAAAAAAAATGGGAGAAAAAAGTAAAAATCAGAAAAAAAAAAAAAAGTCATGACGCCCCACACGCTGCATCGCTTAACACGCCGGTAGAAGGGATCCGTGCGTGCGTGTCGGCGTCGGTGAGCAAAGGAATGTCACAGTATATGTTCCTGTGCAGGCAGGCCCGCACAACAAACCACCGGAAAGTTTATATATATATTCGTATCCGAACCACTTAAAGGAATCACATTTATTATTTCTCTTGTTTTGTTTTTGTGTTGTTGTTGTTGTTTTTTTGATCCTTCTGCCGCTCTTTTTTTTCTTTTTTTACTTCTGTCCTCCTTGTTTTCCTCCCCTTCTCGTGTGGGCTTCCGTTCATGGGGCATAAGGAACAATGATAAACGAAAAAAAAAATGGAAATGCACATAAATATGCACATCTGCCTACGCTCTTGCGTGGGTGACTATGTACCGCATGCTTGAGGACACCACAGCCCTCCCCTGATATATATATATATGTGCATGCGGGTTACGTGCATACACATGTGTACAGAGAAGTAGATCGCACGAATTGCCTCCTTCCATCCCTCTCGCTCTATCTCTCCTTCTCTCCCATTATTTACTACAAGCCACATTGCACCCGCCCACATACACACACACACACACACACGCAAAGAAAAAGTTTACTCAGCAGTAATCAAAAGAGGTGTGTGCCTTCAGCAAAGGCGCAATCAGGAGCAAGCAGGGAAAAGAACTGAAGAAGAAAAAAAAAAAAACTGAAGTAAATCCCCGTGCAGTCAATTCACTGCGGTGGTGTATTTCTTACTTTTGTGCTCTTGTGTTGTTCCTGTTCATCTGTTTGACGCCTCTCTCCTCCCCTTTAGTCCTCAGGATTAACATTTGTCCGCCCTTTTCCCTTCTCTCTCGTCCTTCTTTATATTATGCCTGTTATTTCGCATTTTTTTTTTTTTTTTTCGTTGATGTTGCTGCAATTTCATTTATTTGATAGTTTTCTTTTAAATTTTCATTTTTATTATCTTCTCTCGGGGAATTTGTTTGTTTCATGTGGATCTGTTATTCCCTTCGCCCCTTAATGCCTTTCCTCGTGTCACTGGTGGAGGGGGAGGAACGGGCCCCTTCTGGCTCGAGCCGGACCCTTCCCCGTTCTTCTTGTGATTACATATTACACGCAGCTCCCCGTTGGGCCCGGAAATTTACGCTGACTCCGCCGCGAGTTTGCAGGCGAGCTTGGCTGCCTCCTCGAAGTTGCGGGCGGGGTGGAGCGGGAGGCCGCTCTCCTGTAGAATGCGTTTGCCCTCCTCCTCTTTGCTGCCGCTGAGACGCACAACAACAGGGATGTTGCGGCCCTTCAGTTCGCGTGAGGCCGCCACAATACCCTCCGCGATAATGTCGCAACGCATGATGCCACCAAAGATGTTCACAAGAATGCCCTTGACCTTTTCATCGCCTGTAATGATCTGGAAGGCGGCCACGATCTGCTCCTTCGTGGCGCTGCCGCCAACGTCAAGAAAGTTCGCGGGCCTTCCGCCGTTCATGGAGATGAGGTCCATTGTCGCCATTGCGAGACCAGCACCATTTACAAGGCAGCCGACGTTGCCATCCAGGGCAATGTAGTTGAGGTCATATTTCTTGGCAAGCACCTCCTTGGGGTCAATCTGCGTGTCGTCCGCAAGGCTGAAGATGTCCTTCTGGCGGAACTCAGCGTTGTCGTCAAAAGAAAGCTTCGCATCAATGCACATGACATCGCCGTTCTCCAGTTCCACAAGTGGGTTGATCTCCACCTGCGTGCAGTCCTTCGACTTGCCAACGTTGTAGAGCGCCTTCACCTGCTCCGCTGCGTTTTCAGCAGCGCGACCACTGAAACCGAGCTCCTTTGCAAAGGCCACGCAGTTGTCATGGCTGATGCCTTCCTGAACATTAATGCGCATCCGCTTGATCTTCTCGGGGCACTTCTGCGCAAGCTCCTCGATGCCCATACCACCCTCGGCGCTTCCAATAAACATTGGCGAGGCTGTCTTGCGGTCAAGCAGAAGTGCAAGGTAGAGCTCACGCTTGATACCCGTCACAGCCTCAGTGACGTAAAGCAAATTCACCCTCTGTCCCTTGGGTCCCGTCTGCTTCGTCACAAGCGTTTTGTTCAGCATCTTCTTGGCACAATCAAGGGCCTCCGCGGCGTTCTTGCAGACATGTACGCCGCCCTTAAAGCCATCTTCAAATGTGCCCATGCCACGGCCACCGGCGAGGATCTGCGACTTGACGACCTTCTTTTCCGTCTTGATCTTCCCCAGAGCGGCCTCCACCTCCTCGAGGGTACGGCACGGGATGCCAAACTCTGTCTTGCAGCCGCCTTCCTTCAGAATGGCCTTCGACTGGTACTCGTGGATGTTGAAGAAACGGCGCTGAACGCTCACGCCCTTTGGGATGCAAGTGCGGCTCAAACGAGTGAACATGATTCACACTTCTTTTATTGTTTTCGCTTTTTGTTTTGTTTTTTGCTTGTCTGCTTTTTTTCGTGTTCCACCTCTGTTATTCGTCGTGTGAGGCGGAATGAAGCAGCAAGAAGAGCGGCAGTAGAGAGACACAACAAAAAGGAATAAAAAAGGGCCCCCGCGCCAAACCTGCATGCGCACAAGCAATGCAAATTGAGAGAAGACGGCGGAGGGGAGATTCTCCCTCCCTCCCGCGCAAAAAAAAAAAGGGGGGGGAGAAAGAAAACACAAGCCAAGCCGATCAAAAGAGACAAGCACGCCGCACTCAATGCAATTCCTCCGCAGTTTCAAACAAAACCGCCTTGACTAGCGCGAGAACATCTTGTGCATGGCTCTCCAGTTCCACCAGTAAATGTATGCGTTGTAGAAAAGGAATGTGAGCACCACGGTGTTCAGCTGCGTCGCTCCGTCAAAGTCAGTAAACAGCGCGGAGAAAAGTGCCAGACGAAAAGTCTCCCCAATCGCCGCGAGTAGCAGCGTCCAGCGATTGAGAGGCTCGTAGGCAACAAGTATCTTCGGCAGAGCCAAGTAGAGAAGAAATACGGCGAGCAGCATCGCCCCCTGTGGGCTATCGGAGGCCCTGTCAAACCACACCACGGTGGCCACAGACAACGGCTGCTGCAGAACACTCAACCGAAAGACGCATACGAGGTCGAGCAGTACGACCATCGCTATGGAGTACCACTGAATAAAAAACATGAACTTCAGCAAAACCAGCTCACAGTCCTAATAGAAAATGGGGCAAATGGAAGATACAACAAGCAGAAGGG